GATATGCATAGATACATAAGGGTAAACATTTTCGCAGAAGGAAAATATCGAGCGAAAGCTTCAACGGAAGTAGAAACGTGCTTGCACTTTGAACACGCTCGACAACAGATACAACACAACGCAAGCACCTGTGTCGCTCGATTATATCTATCGGTGGTAAATAGAAGCGTCGAGGAGCGGCGAGTTGCCATCGTGGTGTCGGTTGTGGCCGTGGCGACATGGGATCCATGGGAGGGGACAATTCGTATACATATTTTAATATAAAAAGTATCCGTCGGCTGCCATAACCCTCGAGTTGTTCCCACGACAGGCTCAATTAAGTCGCCTTTTCTACTAAATATGATTGGACTTGTGGTCGTGTTCCATCACTCCTCCTCGACGTGGCGCTCTAACGTACTGTAGGTGGAACCCAACACTCCACCAGGACGCATTCCATCTAACACCAGATCGGCATGAGTGGACGACGCTCGCGAAGTCGCTCTCCTCGACGAGGAGGGTATTCTCCATCACGCTCCCCACCCCGTCGTCAAGATGATCGTGGAGGTGGCGGTGGTTATGGACGTGACGACCGTGGAGGCGGCAGAGGTTATGGACGCGACGACCGAGGTGGCGGGTATGGCGGAAGCGGCAGTGGATATGGTGACCGAGGTGGTGGCGGTGGCTACGGTGGTCGCGGTGGAGGTCGTGACGGTGGTCGTGGAGGCGGCGGTGCTCCCTTTGGCGGTGGTCGCGGTGGTGGCCGAGGCGGGGGAGGAAATGTCTCATACGGACCAGTGCCGACCCCGGTGCGCTCGACGCTCTTGGTTCCAACGCAAGAATCGCAATTCCCGTGCCGTCCAGCGTTTGGAGACGTAGGACGCGCAATTGTCGTGTGGGCGAACCATTTCCAGGTGGATTTGAATCCAAACCAAGGCGACATTTTCCACTACGACGTGATGTTTTGCAACAAGGGAGACACCCCGTTGCAGGCCGTGCCGAACAAGGAACTGTGCGTCCGCGTGTTGAAGGCGCTGATAAATACGCTCAAGGACGAATTCCCGGCGATAACGGTCGTATCGGATGCGCGCCGGAGCATCTACGCTTCAGCGGAGCTGCCGTTCAACAACCGAATGATCCCGGTCCGTGAGGTGTTTGAGACAGGCAAATCGAAGGAATGGGACGTGTACGTCAAGGCAGTAGACCCAGTGGCCATTCCCATGGACCGTGTGCTCGAATTCTTTGCCGGTCGCATCAACTTCACGCCGTATGACGCGATCATGGCCCTCGACATTGCGTTGCGCGCGACGGCAAACGATCGCTTTGTGTCGGTGGGCCGCAATTTTTTCGGTCAGTCAGGCAAGATGAATCTGCCCGAAGGCGCGGATCTATGGTTTGGGTACCACCAGAGTCTTCGCCCGACGCAAACTCGTCTCACGTTGAACGTCGACATGGCTGCCACGACCTTCATCAAGAAGGCAAATCTGGTTGATTATATCGCGGAAGCGGCGTTTGGCGGCCGGGGTGTCAACTTCGAAGACCCCACAGCATTGAAAGCAGCTCATCGTGTGGTGAAAGGTGTGCGCGTCTGCGTGACCCATCGCGGCGGTTTGAAGCAAGAGTTCAAAGTGAACGGCCTCACGGCAACTCCAGCGAGCGCCACATTTTTTGCAGACCTTGAAGGCAACCAGCAGTCTGTGGCAGCGTACTTTGAGTCCAAATACTACCGCCTCAAGCACCCTGAATGGCCGTGTGTCCAGACAGGGTCGAAGAACAAGCCTCAGCATCTCCCGCTTGAAGTGTGCGTCACTACAGGCACCCAAAAGTCCATCCGCAAGGAAACGCCGAATCAAGTCGCCGCCATGATCAAGCAGACATGCACGCCACCCGACGATCGCCGCCGCAAAATTGAAACGCAGGTTGCGAACGCGCATTTTGAATCCGACTCTTGCTTGTCAGCGTTTGGGTTGACGGTGAGCTCGACCATGCTTGCTGTGGAAGCACGCCAGCTCCCCGACCCCGAGCTCGTGTACTCGAACCAGAGTTACGAACGCCCTCGCGAAGGTACATGGAACCTCCGTGGCAAGGGGTTCTACGAAGGCATGGACCTGGACAGCTTTGCTATTATCAACCTCGGCGACCAGCGCGAAGAGCGCAACATTGCAGGGTTTTTCCGAAAGCTCGTCGACCAACTTGGTGCACTCAACATGCGCGGGCCCCGCGGACCGGTGCCGGACGTCATCTCGCGCCACCGCAATCAGTCGGTCGAGGATGTGTTTGCCGATGCCGTCAGGTACGCCGAAAAGACGTACGGCATGCCTCCAAAAGTTGTCTTTTGCGTCAACGGGAACGGAGACACGACCAACTACGCGGACCTGAAGCGCGCAAGCGACATCAACTTTGGCATTCCTTCGCAGTGCATGCTCCAGCGCCACATTGGGAAGGCGAGCCCCCAGTACATTGCCAACATTATGATGAAAGTCAACATGAAGCTGGGCGGACGCAACGTGATTTGCCGAGGCGACTTGCCCAAGATATCGGAGCGGCCGACAATCATCCTCGGCTGCGACGTGACCCACCCTGTGTCGATCGATAAGTCGAAGCCGTCGATCGCGTCGGTGGTGGCCACGATGGACCGATTTGCATCGCACCATGCTGCGTGCGTGCGGAAGCAGGGCCACCGCGTCGAGCACATTGAAGATCTTGCTGGCATTACCCACGAGCTCTTGCGCCGATTTTACCAAGCGACGCACGTGAAGCCGGAGCGAATTTTGATTTACCGTGACGGGATCTCGGAAGGGCAGTTTTCCAACATTTTGAAGAAGGAAGTCGGGCTCATCCGCCAGGCGTGCAAGACACTTGAGGAAGACTACCAGCCAGCCATCACGTACGTCGTCGTGCAGAAGCGCCACCACACGCGCATCTTCCCGACGGCCGCGATGGACGCGGACCGCAGCGGCAACTGCAAAGCTGGCACGGTTGTCGACACGGGGATTTGCCACCCCACCGAACACGACTTCTACTTGATGAGTCACTCGGGCCTCCAAGGATGCAGTCGGCCAGCGCACTACCACGTCCTCCTGGACGAGATTCAATTTGGTCCGAACGAGCTCCAAATGCTCACGTACCATTTGTGCTACACGTTTGCGCGGTGCACTCGCGCCGTGTCGGTCGTTCCTGCCTGTTACTATTCGCATCTGGTCGCCGAGCGCTCGCGGTTCTTTCTCAACGACAGCAGCGACGGCGGCTCGACCGTTGACGGCAATTTCGTCGAGTCAACTGGCGTCATGCTTGAAGTGCACCGGAACCTGGCCAATGTCATGTATTACTTGTGAGCATGACTTGCATCGCTAGCTGTCTGGAGGTCCTAGCACTTGCCTAACCCTGCAATGAATGGAAAAAATACGTTGGGTGTGCAGGCGCTCCGTCAGGCGGCATCATCAGATCAGCCGAGTGCGCAACTCGCGAGGATGCGATTCCTGTCACGAATGTCGTTGTACTTCTCGTGCGGCGACTTACGCCAGAGCCCTTGTATGGCGCCTCCGACGTATCTCGCGACAAAAGAACTCGCATCTTGGACGACGGGTCTATCGCTCGCTTGGCAACCCGAAAGATAGGTGAATGGTGGTGTACACCTGGACGAATGACGTGCGGCATGCTCTGCCCCGCGGCCCAGCGGCGGCACCCCGGCAAGCATGTCCCTGGCCGCCGCCGTCGAGGTGTGCTTTCTTGTTCAGCCAAGATGACCAGCACTCGGTCAACCTGGACGGCTTTTGCCCAATCAAATTTCAAGTGCGACGAGGAAGGCATGGGCTCCTGGTGCTGGTCGCACGGCAATGTCGATGCGGCCAGCAAGCATATTCAAAGGTTCCATCAGGCTGATGGCCCGCCATGCTCTCCCACCCCATCTCGCACATAAATCTGCACTTGCCCTTGTCCTGACCGAGGACGACTCGCCGCTGGCGTATGCATGCGTCCAGGGCATTCGTCATCATCACGATAAGAGCTTCGACCGTTGGCCACCCCACATCAACTTGGTCTATCCGTTCCTGGCCAACCCAAGCACGCAAATCGACGCCATTCTCGCGCGTGTCGCTGCCGCTGTCGAAGGCGTTCCGGCTGTCGAGGCGACGTTTCCGGCTGTCCATCACTTCGTCCACTCGAAGAAATCAGCCACAATCTTCTTGGATCCAGATAATGAATCGACGCGGCCGCAGTTGCAAGCCATCCAGGCGGCTGTCCAAGCGGCGTTCCCAGAGTGTAACCACGACACGCGGCCATTTGTCCCCCACTTGACTCTTGGTCAAACCGGAGGAAGCAACCAAGCGATCGCGTCGTTGACAAGACTGATCGACTCTTCGTTTCGCGCCAAGAGCTCCGAAGGTCAAGCCGCCACAGACGCTGAGCCCACTTCGTGGACCTTGCGCTGGTCGATCGGTCGCTTGGTCGTCCTGGAGCGACAGGGAGCCGACGATCCGTTCAAGATTGTCGGGCAAGTTGCGTTACACGGCAATGCGAAGGATTAGGAAGGTTGTCCCGTGAAACAACATTTCCATCACTCGTCATTCGTTATGTTATGTTCGATTCGCCATGGCCATCGCCGTGAACTTCATGCCAACGTTTCCGACCTTCTTCTTGCGCTCTTCGGCCTCCAGTTCCCTCTGCTTGAGTTCCGTCTGACGCTTCATCCAATATGCTTGTTTGTTGGCCTGATCCTTTACCATTTGCTTGAGACTTGACGCTGATGCTGGATGTTTCTTTTGTGTCCCGTTGAGCTCTTGCGTTCGCCGAACTTCTTCGCAGATCCACTGCAATGCTGTGACCCACTCCGACCGGAGCTCCGCCGACTCGGCGTCCAGTTCCAAGAGCACATCACCTTGCATCGAGTAGATTTGGAAACCCGTTGGGCCGCTGGGCAAGACGGATTTGATGTCACCTACTTCGATCTCATTCGGTTTGGCGCCGTCTGCTTGTTTGTCCGACGTCCACAGGAGGATTTCGTCCGAGTCGGCGTGGAGTTGCAAGTGGATGGTCTCTGTCCCGGTATGCAAACCGAACGTGTATTTCTTGCGCGTAAACACGCCGCCTGCTTGGAGGAACTTGGCTCGCTCGTCATGCTCTCGAATGGCTTGGCAATGCTCAAAGCAGTTCAGATTCCCCATCCTTTCCTTGCATTATGCGAAACGCACGATCACCTTGGCATCCGAATACTTCAATTTATCCGGAAGCAAAAAATCAAGTAAAACTTGAGATTGTATGTTGAAACGTTGGCGGCGATCGAGCTCACTGTCAAGCAGGACGCTGTAAAGGGCCGTTCCCTGCGTGTGACGTCGCCGGCATGGATCTCGTTGGCACCAAGCTGCTCCAAGAGCAATCGTTTGCGCAATTCGTGCTCGCACCGTGCAATGGCAAAGTTTGCGCTGTGTATTTACACTCGACGACATCGAGTTAATTGCGAAGATATCTGCTATCTACAGCGATTTGCTTCGCCTGCTCCTTCGGACGTTTAGTCGCCGCAAACGTCCGCAGTACCACAACAAGCAAGTTGTCGTCACGAGCTATGAGGAAGTGGATCATATGGTGCACGCTACGTCCTGCCTTGGGTCACTAGCGTCGATACTGGTGCTCAGTCCCATCCGACCGAGCAATCGCATCGCGAACCAAGCATTTCAACTCGTGGGGATCGCGACGTGGCACTAGACATGTATGAAAATGCGACGACGAACCGATTGGAGTGGATTGCGCGACTTGCCAAAACTTTGCTTCCAATGTCAACGGTGATGCCCAAGGCTCATCTTGACGTGCTTGATGCCTTGACCAGGAAACAATGAAATGCAAAGCATGGTCACGTAAAACCTAGCGGCTTGGCAAATGCAAGTTAGTCAACGTAGTGGAGCAGCGTGCTGTATGCCAAGTGACGTGTCAAATTCAAATATCTCGTACAATATGGCAAGGCTTTTAGACAACAAGCGCCGGCACCGCTTATTTGTCAGCAAAGCAATACATCACGTCGCGATGAATGGTCACCTTGGCCGCACCGTTGGCGATGGAAGCGCCGCCACCACAATAGTCCCAAGTCGACCTTTACCATGTTTGCTACAAGAGTTCGACGGCAATGCGACCGTCGGTATGCGGTCGGTGGCGCAACCACCACAAGCCGGTTGAATAGTGTCGGAACAACTGTTGCGACGGAATCGAGTTGAATTTGGCCAAGGTCAGGAAAAGTGCTCTCCACAGTTGGTCGGAAGTCAGCGTCCAGCCAATCAACAGCTTCTTGACTGAATGTTAGCGACTCGCATTTGAGGTACCTCACAGGCAAGAGTACCACCGGTCCATGTCATAAGGACCAAAGTTTCCGCGCTCTTCACAACAGTCAATGAGTACACGCAATATTCGTGAGCGCATAGAGCCAAGAGAAAGGCGTAGACATGATTACTCTGCAGTGAGAAGTGCTGGCCTCCAGCCGACCCAGGAACATAGATTCAAGAAGTCGGCGACAGAGTGTCCGTCGACAGCGCACTACTTGTTAGCGTACTTGGCATATGCGTCAATGTAGAATTGGGCATCGCGAATGGTGTCCTGGAAGGCCGACCGGGTCCTGGCAGCGGCGAGCACCGCTTGGAGCAATGGGAACCCAGAGAGGAGGTCGATATTGCGGTAGTGCTTCAGCAGGATCTCAAATCGGAATAAGAACGGCACGATGAGAATTTCGGCCCCGCCTAGTTTGCTTCCGAGCAAAAATGGGCCGCTCGAACGGTAGGCAGCAGCGTGCACGCGATAGATTGTCTCGACGTCGGTTAGGGTCTCCTTCAACGCCTCCACGTTCTCGTCCTACGGCATATTGAGACTACCGCCAAAAAGCCACAAACGATGGCTCCACTTACACTAGCATTGCCTAAAACCTGGTAAAACGGCCCGACTTCAAACTTGGCTGCTGCCAATTGACTCAACGCCGCTTCTTCAGGATCGTGATGGCGGAAGATCTCGCCGTTACCGAATTTGGTGTCCAAGTACTGGGCGATGATGGCAGATTCGTAGATTGGGGTACCGTTCGAGAGGAGATATGGCACGGTTCCGAACCGGTTGAATCTTTCGATGTACGCTGCAGGCATGTCGGCCAACGACACTTCGACCACATGGAACGGCGCGTTTGCTTCCACGGCGGTCCATAGAGCACGGTGGCCAAAGGGGCAGATAATGTTGTTGAACAAGTGGACTTTCCCGTCCTTTTGCTTGAATCCGTCCAGCTCAGCTTCACTTAGCGACTCAAATGGCGTCGACTCAAAGGGCATGGCGTTCACAGAATGAAAATGGGGATCTTGCCAAGTGGGCGGCGGAATCTACGTCGTCCGTCATAAATGAAGCGCTCAATCATTTATAGTTTGGTAATAGATGATTTTCGATTCAGTCTATTCTGCTGGACATCTGAAGAGGGTGAGATTCTTCTGCCGCCTGAATCCACTGAGGAATCACACAGGACGCTTACCTTGGAATATGGATGTCATGGGGAGGTCAAAGAGAGAGGGCTGCCAAAAAAGAGGCACAAGACCACGGTAGAGTGGCCATGGGATTAAGGGGTGGTTTACTTGTTCACGAACTTCGCATACATGTCGATGTACACTTGTGGCTCGCGGATTGTTTGTTGAAACGCAGAGCGTGTCTTGACAGCGGCCAAGGCGGCAGCAAGCAGTGGGAAATCGGTCAGGAGATCGAAGTTGTGGTAGTGCTTGAGCACAATCTCGAAGCGGAACAGCACAGTCGCCGTGAGGATCTCGGCATTGCTGAGAGTGTTGCCAAGCAAGTACGGTCCTTGAGAGCGATATTCGGCCCCGTTGATACGATACACGGCCTCTACTTCCGCAAGCGACTCCTTGAGTTCAGCCACGTTTTCGTCCTACGACCTTATGTTTGAATATTTGAAACAAGAACGATATCGTACAGTAAACTTGCGAAGAAGTTGATACAACGGCCCTGCCTCAAACTTCGCAGCGGCCAATTGTGCCAACGCAGCTTCTTCCGGATTGTTGCGGCGGAAGATTTCACCGTTGCCGAATTTGGTGTCCAAGTACTGGGCAATGATCGCGGACTCGTAGATTGGGTTTCCATTCGAGAGCAAGTACGGCACCGTGCCGTACCGATTGAATTTGTCCGAATACGCCGGTGGGGGATTCGCCAACGACACTTCGATCACGTGAAATGGCGCGTTCACTTCCACCGCAGTCCACAGCGCACGATGACCGTAGGGGCATGCAATGTTGCTGAAGAGATGAAGTTTCCCGTCCTTCTGCTTGAAGGCGTCGAGCTCACTTGCGCTCAGGCTCTCGAAGGCTGCAGTGTCGTACGGCATTTTTGTGCGATCTTGAATTTTGAAAAATGAACTATTGCACCTACTACTGCAACTTACTAAAGAGCTCGAGGAGGTGCTTCTTGTTGTTGCCTGCGTGACTCCATAGAGTGCATGTATCAAATTTTTAAAATTTCATGTCAACAAGGAATTAGTAATACTAGAATGTAATGGAATTGGAAAAGGATGTTTACTAACTTGCCGAGTGGCGAGGTGGGTTTACTACCTCGCTGCCCAATCGTCGTCATGCCCCGACCCTTTCGACAAGACGGCATACTGATTCATGGCGCAGGTGAAGCCCGCTCGCGGCTGCTGCAATGCTCATGTCATGTGGGAACGTGTCTGGCACACATCCACGAGGGTAACCTCAACGAGAACGAGATAGCCACAGGCCATGCCGAGCCGTACTCGTTCGGGTCAGCTCCATGGGATTGAATGTTTGGTCAGATAACAGTAACAGTGTTGAGTTAACTAAAACGCTATGTGGTGTCGGGGACGTTGACACTGTCGTAGCCTTTGTCAAAATTGAGCACAAGCTTGTGCCGCCAGTTGAATCCGTCTGCCTGGATGCGCTTCAAAATTGTTTGCGCGCATTCGAGTTGCGTCTTCTTCTGGCAAAAAGTTCCCCCGTTCGCTCGGAAGATCGTGATGTACACGGAATAATTCTTGGTCTCTTTCCGCCTGAACGCCACGTGTTGAAGGATCTCCTGCAGCTCGTCCGTCCCGTCGGCCGTCACGCGCTGTGTTGTCGAGGTTGCTTCCGCCTAAACAGATCACATGAACTCACGACCTGGGTATGTGAGAAACAATACCTTAGCCTGACTTTGCACTTCGCGTAAGGTGGCCGCGACGTGCTCCTTCGTGGCTTGCTTCGAGGGCGGGTGCTTCGTCACGATGTGCAAGAGTAACTGCACCAGACTCTGTTCGCGGCTGTCCACGTGCAGGTATGGCGCACTCTGCTTCGTCCAGTCCAGGAGGAGACTGATCTTATCGTCGTACAAGCTGCGGACCCCGCGAAAGTCTTCATGCTTCATCGCTTTCCGCTTGTCGAGTGTCCTCAGCAAGATGAATGCAAACTGAACCTTGTCTTTGACCTGCAGAAGCATATCAGATCCATTAAGTTGTGAGTCGTACAGCGAATTCTGTTCGCGCTGCTTCTTTGAACGCTGCCTCCATGAGAAGTTTGGACGGGAAGTACCCTCCTTTGTGACACATTTTGTGAATGATATCCACGGCGGCATCCGATGGCGCCGCCCCTGGACTTGTTCGAGAGTACGTTGCCCAGTTGGTGGCCGGTTCGATGCACACGGACGTTGCACGCTGACGTGTATGGTGAGTGGAGGGTGGATGGTGCGTCGTGTCGACCGTACCTCGTGTGTGATGGGGTGGACGCCAGCGACGCCAATGCAGCATTCAACCTGCTCATGGAAAGTCTTGAGTTGCTCTTCAAGGACGCTCAGGTGCAACTCCGTCAACCTCTGGAACAATTCTGCTTCTGCCACCTCCATTGTGTTGGATGGCGCGGCACTTCCGAACCGCGCGTAAGTCGATGGGGTCCCTGATATCCGGATCGGGGTATTATCCGGATATTCCGTTTGGAAATGCCATGTCCTACCTGCATTAGGGTTGGCCATTTCACGACCCGACGTCCGCGTCGGATATACTCGCTAAAAGGCTCGGTATGCTTTTCCGCATCTTCCGCACATAATTGCTTAATGCCAATCTTGTCACGCTTGAACGACTTTGGATTGCCTATTACCGAGCCTGAACGGCAATGGATCATCCACTCCTGATGTGGACATCGAATGGCTGTCATGCTCTCCTTTGGGGTGTATTTGCCCTAAAGGAGGGCAATCCACAGTTGAAGGACGAGTGTACTTTTGCAATGTGCTTGCCCCATTCGCGTGAAATAGACTTGCACTTGAATGTCATGGATTCCTGTCACTTCGACGGATGCTGATGCACTAGGTTCTCTCACGCGAGCGTACGTGTTGAAGCGCCAGCGCGCCGAGCAAACTCTTTCGATGCGCGTGCCATCAGAGTGACGAGGTCCAAGTCTGGAAGGTGTTTCACGTAATTGAAAACACGAAACCGCCGGGTGGCAAAATGTACGGATACACTTGGATATCCGGACAACTCGAGCGCTCGACACACAGTCCGTTACTGCATTTCCGGGCGCCGCAGCAGAACGACCAAGATGGGGGGCAAGAACGACGTCAAGTTCCTGTCAATTATGCGCGTCGCGGACAAGCTGACTGTGACCACATACACACATGCAAAGGTGAAAGCTGAAGAGCGGACCAAGTACACCGACATTTCCAAAAAAGTCGTGGCATCGCCATCATGGGACGCTGACGTCGGACACAACAGTCGTCATGCTCTCGACTTCGACGCGCTCAAGCTGCACTTCATGCTGGACGCCGGTGACTTTGTCTATTTCGCTGTGACGATCCGTGATTATCCCATCCGTGTCGCCCACCTCATGCTGAACGATCTGCAAGCAGAATTCAGTGCATCATACTTAGCGTCGGCATTGGCGTTAAAGAAGGAACACACACTTGGCAGCGACTGCGTCAAGGTAAATACGATCACGTGTGATCGGTATGCCCTGACCAAGAATCTTTTGTACGGGATAGATGTTGGGCAGTATCGCGTCCAAGTACGAAGACGTAACTCAGGTGGACAAAGTCGCCAAGGTGAAAGCTCAGGTGGAAGCTGTCAAGGACACAATGAAGGACTCAATCAATATCGCGCTCAACAGCACGGAGAAGCTTGACACGTTGTCACAGAAGGCGGCTGACCTTGCCGACTCGGCTTCGGTGTTCAAGAAAGGCGCGACCGACATGCGGCGTCAAATGTGGTGGAAAAATGCCAAGGTGTCGCTTGCGATTGCGCTGAGCATGATCCTCGCCATCCTAGTGTTATTGTACGCCCTCGGCATCTTCGACCACATTGGTCAAGCGGCCAAGTCGACGACATCCGGTCGCTTTCGACACTAGCGCGCTAACGTCACCGAAGCCGCTTGTAATCTAAATAATGATTTTGCGACCCTTTTAAGTCACACTGACAAAACAAAACATGTCACAAGGGGGGCGCGTGGCTACCTTCATCTTGCTAGGAGCATTGTGGGCGCTCTCAGCCGACGAAGGATTTCTGGCTGATCGAGGAGATGAGACTAAGCGACGATGTCGAAGCGCTAGTCCATTGTAACGTTGGGTAAGACCGCCACTGCGAAAACGACGCATGCCGACGTATATTGGATCGGCTCAGTCGTTTCAACTGCCCAACGGTGCGACGGTGAGGATTCGCAATATAAATAGAAGTGCAGCGCAGCATGGCCCACGTCGACCAGATTCCAGGCGGCACATATTGAATCGCAACATGGCACTCTCTCACGACAATGTCAAGTTTTTGGCAGTGGCGCGGGCCAGCGACAAGGTCATCGTGTGCAGCTACGCCCACACGAAGAAGGATAAAGAGGATGCACCCAAGTACATCGACATGCTGAGCAAAGTGCTGCGAGCGCCAACGTGGAAGCAGCAAGTGACGCCCAACAGCCGCCACACGCTCGACTGCGACCCCAACAAGTTTCATTTTACTATGGACAACGACGAGATTGTGTACTGCGCCATCACGGCTGCCGACTACCCGATTCGCCTGGCGTTCAAGCTGATCACAGCAGTGCAAGAAGAGATCGGGGGGAAACAGGCTGCTAAGCTCGCCCAGGCCAAAGAGAATGGCTTGGATTGCGGCAAGTCTTTGGGCGTCATCGCGACCATGTACGACGATCGCACGAAGGTGGACAAAGTGTCGGAAGTGATGGCGCAGGTTGACGCGGTGAAGAGCACGATGCAAGACAATATTCAAGTGGTGCTGTCCAACACAGAGAAGATGGAGCTGGTCGAGCAGAAGAGCAATGACCTGAACGAACAGGCCAAGGTGTTCCGCAATGCGGGCAAGAGCCTCGCCCGCACCATGTGGTGGAAAAACGTCAAGATGATGATTGCGATTGGTCTGCTCGTCGTACTGGTCATCATTGTGCTCCTTGCCATGGCAGGAGTGTTCAAGTCATCCACTCATGAGACTACACCTGCGCCAACGCCAACACCACAGGCCGCATTGACATTGCCAACGACGACAAAAGCTGCACGCATTCTCCGCGATACTCAGACTATGGACGGCGCCTCGCACGGTGCGTAGGACATCATGCCGAGGCAGCGGATGAATACCAAAGATAGTCTTGGAAAAGCTTGGTGTTGAGGTCCTGCTGCCTTCATGTGGTAGAGCTCGTGGCGGTTGGCGGGACCAGCGTTTCATTGGCTGATATGGGATCAAATCAGCCAATACATGATAGGCAGACGACAAATTAGTTAATTTTTAGCCAATCCGACGTTTCACCGTATGGAGGGAAACTTGCGCACAAATGCGGCGGTGCAAGTTTCGATTGCCATGGAAGGGCTGAACGCGACGCTGCACGACCCTCGCTTCAAGCGTGGCATTACGCTGCTCAAGGAAAAGAGATATGAGGAAGCTGTTGCTCACTTTGAGGACCTTCTTCGCACCATGTACGCTGTTCTTGTGGAGCATGACGACGTCTGAATATGAACAGGATCGAGTCGGAGAACAAAGGGGACACGTTGCAAGTGGCGCCAGTTTACTACGAATACGGCAATGCGTTGTTGTCGTACTCTGAAGCGACGGCAAGCGTGTTTGGCAAGGACACTGTCAAGACTGATGACGGCGAAGAAGAGGAGAACGATCTGGAGGTGGCATGGGAAATGCTGGAAGTTGCACGCGTATTGCTTACCAAACATGAAGGCGAAGACTCTCGAATTGACACGGAACTCGCCCGCGTGTATGTGCGTCTTGGGGACTTGGGCATGGAGTCGGATTTGTTTTCGCAGGCCCGCAGCGATTACGAGCGCGCGATCGCATTGCATCACAAGCACTTGGTGCCGCTCAAAGATGACACGACGCCGTTGGCAGACATCTACTGCTGTTTGGCGATCACGTGCATCTACGAGTACACGAAGCAGCCGGGAGTTGACGACGACGACAATGCCGATGGCGAGCAAGTCGAAGCCACCGACGAGGCAGCGGCGCCCGCCAAAATGACACAAGCCGAGCTCGAGTTAGCTGGCGTCAAATACTATGTTCAAGCTGGACATGTCATGGTGGACAACATCTACAGGCAGAGCGAAAAGTGTTCAAGTGTCGTGCAAGAGTTTGTCAAGAAGCACATCCCGCAGCCAATCTCCAAGACCCCGACGTCTTCCAAGGGCAAGGCCAAAGCCAAAGTCGACCGAATCGAAGACCTCGTGCTCAAGTACAACAACGGCGAGTACGACCAGATGCGAAAGCAGTTCCTTGCTTCGGTGACCGCGGGACGTCCTGATCCAAACCCCACGTCAGATGACGACACGCGCCAGCTCGACCAGGACGAGAAGGATGTGCTCAACTACTTGGAAATCTACACCGAAGTCAAAGAAAAGGTCGGTGTCTCGATCCGTGGCCAACGCGTGGTTGCCTCATGCACTTCTTTAGGTGGATGGACTGCGGGAGAGCTACACAACTGGCCGTGCTGAAGTTGCGGCTGCGATCGCCACCACATCGGGTGACGCGCCCACGGGTGCCGTCACTACCATTGGGTTTGGTACAGACAACTCAACAAGCACTGCCAGTGTGACCTCGATCGGTTTTGGCGCACCAGCAACAGCATCCACGGAGCCTTCCATAGGAGCACCTGCATCTGCCCCAACAGTGAATGTCCTGCCGGTCACGAAGAAGCGGAAAATCACTCCCACCACAACCGAGACAAATTCCGGCTGAGTAGAAATTACCCATGTACTCAACGTGCACTGCACACACCATGTAAACATGGCGCCACTATAGCTCATCTTTCGAGTATGTGCGTTCTTGGACAGGTGGCGATGGTTGCGAGTTGATATCGTCGCCACTCCAGTCGGCAAACACTGCCTCGCGCGCTCGACGACGTTTCTCGACCATGTCGATCCAATACATTTCGATGGCGTCTTCGTCCATGACAGGAAAATCATCGATGGCAAAACTCCACACGTCGTCAGCCTTGCTCTGCATGACAACAACCGAGAAAGATTCAACGGGTTGGCGGCTTTTGTAGTGTGGTGACGCGAGGTCTAGATGCATGTACGTCATAAAGTGAAACTCGCCCACCTATCGCCGCCGTCACTATCGTTCTTCGTCATGGGTGACCGCAGTCGGAACACACCTGAGTCGACGCGTTCTTGATCTGGACCAAGTCCAACGATGTATAAATCCCCGTGTCCGACAACTTCTTCAGTTCGTCGACAGCAAACTACCTTGGCCTGTTGAGAGGTCATGAAACATGTGAACGGACTTACGTTAGCTGCTTGCACTATTGCCGATTCATGCACTTGCCTTGACGTCCTTTCATACCGCGGGGATTCTTCAGCAAGGCAGAGGGCCATAATCCCTGCAGCCGCAGCAACAGCGTCGACGGCGGTAGGTAGGCGCATGGCTCAATGTTGGATCTTTCGCGATGCAAGATAAATTACACTAAGACAAAGGTTTCAACAGATTTAGTGTGAGACCATGATACTGTAAAGTAACTTGTGTCAGTGTACCGTACACCAACCTTTGGGTACAAATTTTTCAGGACCACTACAATTTCGAACACGGCTCCAGCGATGTATGAAGTACCAGTCGTCGGACAATCCTGTCGCCCTTGCAGGCAATAGAGCAATATAAGGAAACACAGCTCCCAACACGACGAAGATCGCCTTGCGTCGATGCTTGCACTTGGCCACAGGTTCACGAAAGAACTCACGCTTTCGTCCATCGACAACAAGGCGGCAACCTCTGGCGACACGAGTTGAAGGGGAAGGTGGTCGCAGGTTCAAGATGGGCGACATGAACTATTAATATCGACCTTCCACAACTGGTCCATTCAAACTCGTACGACCAACAATCGCCGAGGAATGTGCACAAATGATATGTTGATTGCCAGCATATGATTCATTACTTTGTCGTGCATGGATGTCGTCTTCCGAGCGGGAGCTTCCCTGGAGGCGAAGGTATGATATATTTTTATAATAATGTATAGAAATGTCAAGTGATAAAATAAAACACGAGGTCCAAGGACACCATGGCGTTTCACGGACGTAACAACTCGGCACTCATTGTTCATTCTATCGAGCCGACAGACATGCCAATGCAAGCGGAGCAGAACCGCAAGGGATTCCTTTGGGGACTCATCATGCTCGTGTCTGGGACCATGTGCACCATCATCACCAAAGTCCAGTACGGCATGCGCGCCGAGGGCACGGAAACGTGCGTCGTGAACGGAACCGAGTCGAACATGTGCCTCTTCGACAAACCGTGGTTTGGAGTCCTCCAAATGAAACTCGCGATGGCGTTCTGCATTGTCGTCTTGATGATCCGCCAAAAGGTGCAGAAGCGATCGTACTTGGAAACACCCGTGATGAACATGCAAAAACACGGCAAAAAGTTCATGTCTACACCCAAAGCGAGTCGCGGAAGCGCCTCCAACGAGCGCACGCCCATTGTCGCTTCTTCATCTGCGCCAAAGTCCACCAGCTGGGAAACGATTCTTTGGATCTTGTTTCCATCCTTCCTCGACTTGCTCACCACAGTTCTCGCGAACGTTGGTCTGCTGTGGGTGTCGTCGTCGATCTACCAAATGTCCCGCGGGTCCGTCGTGCTCTTCAACGCCATCTTCTCGGTGCGATTCATGGGAAAAAAGCTCTTTGCGTACCACTACGTGAGCATCTTTGTCGTCATGACTGCCGTCGCGATCGTCGCCTACGCGGGAATCATGCAATCCAACTCGGCCACCAAGTTGTCTGTGGAAGACCAGGAAAAGCAAGCCAACCAAGTGTTGGGGCTGTCCCTCATTTTCGCTTCGCAATTGATCACTGCCATCCAAATCGTTGTCGAAGAGTGGTTCCTTACGGCGCGCCAAGTGAGTCCGCTGACGTTGGTCGGTTGGGAAGGCATCTGGGGCCTCGTGTTCTTCGTCGTGCTCACGCCGCTGCTCATGGCGACGCCCCCCGGCACCACGGCACTGTCCAAGATTTGGCACGAAGACTTTGTCGACACCTTTGTCAAGATGAGCAACTCGTTCGCTGTGTCCATGCTTGTGCTGCTCTACATCATCTTGATCGGGCTTTTTAATGTAAGTGGTGCGGGTAGTCTGTGATGTGTAATGCTGGCTATCTAGCTTGCGGCCAACTTTGTCACCAAGTACTTGAGCTCCGTCGTGCGCAGCATTTTGGACGTACGTTCTCAATGCATTCCTTTTCCGCCATGCCATGCCGCTTTGACCATTCACATCGTAGACCCTTCGTACGTTGGGGGTGTGGGTGCTGTCGCTCTTTATCTTTTACGTCGTGCGGTGGACGGGGGCGAACTCTCCCGGCGAGCCGTGGACTGTCTGGAGCTGGTGCGCAACCCATCGCTTCTACTGGTGCCATGCTGACGTCACTTGTAGGTTGGAGCTGGCTGGTTTTGCGCTGATGGTGGCAGGCACGTTGGCGGTATGGCTCGCTGCACTCTCGCGTGACGTGCTCATGTGTTGTGTGTGTCTGAGTAGTACAAGAAGATCCTACATCTTCCCCTCAAGAGCTTGTACGAAGCGGAAGAGAAGGCGGCGTCGGCCGCTTTCGTCAAATCTCCGTTCATGTCCAACATGCATTAAGCATCGGACAGATGGCGATCGGTGCAGGTGTGCCACTGGCACTAGTTTTAGATTCATCCGAGCTGTGCGCTTGAGCGCCAATGACGACGATAATGCGAAAATTCACCAAACAGATCAATACCGTCGAATACATGTTGCAATATTGCTGACAACCCAGGGTAAGAGCTTGGCACGGGCCTTAGCGGCGATCGCCAAGGAACACCACTTGCGGCACCGAGATTGGTAGTCCGCGGTCGTCCTGGTACAGTCCAAGGCACGGAAAGTGAATCGACTTCTTGTACTAAGCCCAGTCCAGTGAGGAGCTGGCGACGGGAGGAGGGAGATGCGCACCGTCAAAGTCGCCAGCACGAGCAGCGCAAACCCAAACAACTGGACCCTAGGACCCAGTCAGCCGATGTGTTTCGAATCGAGTGGTAGCCGGCCGTCGTACCAGCTCCAGTCGGACCAAGCCTCGCCAGGAGAGTTTGGGTCGTTCCAGCTGAGGATGTAGTACACCACCAGGGCAACCATCCACACTCCGACAGTTCGACCGATCTAGCCATGCCATGACCATCGAACGCAATGGGTGGCTGCAACAACGGTTGAAATGAATTACTAGTACCTCAAGCATGCTGCGAACGATGGATGAGAGGTATTTGGTGACATAGAGCGCCGCAATCTACGCCAAAAAGCACACATGTAGATTATGGCGAACGGAACGACAAGTCTTACGTTGTACGTGCCGATGCTGAGCATGTACGCCAGCACAAGGCACAAGAGCGACGGCGAGCTCTTGAGCTTGACCCACGTGTCGGAAAAATCTTCATGCCACAATTGGGCGGTAATCGCATCACTGGCAGGTGTCATTCCCAGCACTGGCACGAGACCAATAAAGAGGACGAGGCCCCACGCGCCTTCCATTCCAACCAACAACAGTGGACTCACGTGGCGCTCCACCATGAAGTGCTCCTCAACAGCAAATTGTGCGGCAAGCGCGACTTGTCCGAGCAGGATGAACGCCATTCCCACCGCTTGATGGACGTCTGAAGTGGTCACGGGGATCGTTGGCAACTCGTACGTAGTCGTGATATTGGTGTAGATCTCCAGCGGCGACACAGCGTTGTGGTCGCCACCGAGAATACCCGCAACAGAAAAGATAATCACAGCGAACGCGACCAGCAGGATACTCAGGATCTGGTAGCAGTACAGATCTCGCCCCATGAACCGCATCGCGATGAACGCACTGAAAAGCAACACCGCACCATTGCTCATTTGGTACACCGACGCCGGCACCCACAAAAGTCCTGTAAACGCGAGGGTCGTGTTGATCAGGTCCAAAAGCGCGGGGAAGACGAGAAATAGCATCGTTCTCCACGACGGGCCGTCGTATGCTTCTTGAAGCAACGTTCGACGCTCCTCGTACGACCGGGGCTGTGGCATGTACTTAGCCCCGAAGTGCTTGCGCTTAAACACGGGAGACTCCAAGTACGGTTTCCCCGTGACTTTTTGACGGATCAACAGGTAGATCAAGCACATCGTCATGGCGATTTTCATTTGGAGCACGCCAAACCACGGTTTGTGGAACGGACAGTGCGTCGTTGAATCGTTCGTCGCGCCGTCACGGCAGATCACAGTGCCCTCGACAGTCATACTGAATTGCACCTTCATCAGGATCGTCCCCATCGCTCCACACAACAGCGTCGCCGCTCCGAGAAGCGCATACGTCCACGTGACACCCATCATTGCCGTCGGCGGACGCAAAGATCGGATTTGCCCAAATTCCCCAAGATTCCAAGGTATCCGGACGAAAACCGCTTCGGTTTCGCATGCACCGCTTATCCGGATGGCACATCGTTTCACTTGAAACCGTCATCTGTTCTCGCTTGCTTCGGTGATGTTGTTCAAAAGGGGGGAAGCAGTCGCGCCGCAGCGACAACAGGAGCGGCTGGCGACATGAGCTCCGAAATAGTATGTTTTGGCCCGTCAAGCCGCGTGCACTTGCTGCCAAAGTTCATTGTCCCCATGGATTCAGGTCTTCATGAGAAAATCCCCCTTGGATGGACCTATCCAAACCGTGAATATCGAACCTTAATTCGGTGGCGACCCTTTGATCCGTCGTATTGGAAGTCGATCTTGCAGAACTATTGCTTCGGTATTTCGGACGTCTTCCAGCCATGGGCGCCCGCGAGTCAACATCGACGGAGTCCAGGCGCTCCATTCGACAAACGATGTTGTCGATGATGGGGCGAAGCACGGCCCACAGCATGAACGACGAATCCATGATGGCCGTAGTGGCCAAGGTCGCTCCAGATGACAGCGTGTGGAATATCGAGTATCGTCGGCCACTCGCGTTGTCGGACCATTACCACCACTACATGCCCACCAACATGCCGCTCTGTCCGGTGTATCAGAACAGCTACGTCCAAGAGTGCGGTCGGTCATGGAAGATCATTTGTAAAGCGTCAACGCCCAAGATGCGGTCGTACAACAAGGAAGGGATCGTGCTCTTCTACGACGAATTCTTTCACCGGTTGTTCCAGCGCGATCCAGGCTTCAACGACATCTTTCCCGGGATCCGAAAGCGCATCGAGGTCCTTATCAAAGCGATGAAATTTCTCCTCAACGACGCAGGCCTTGAAGAGGCCAAGGTCATCGACCGATGTCGCAACTTGGGCTACCGACACAAGACGATCCCCAAAGTCCGGCCGCACCACTTCTCGGCCTACGCCCAGACGTTTGTCGAGGTCGCCATGTACTGGCTCGACGTCGAAGCCACTCCCGACGTCGGCGAAGCATGGAGCAACTTGATCGGGTTCAACCTTAAGTACATGCTACAAGCGTACTTGTACGATTTGGTCGACGAAGCCGAGTGGAATCAAAATATCATTGCGCCACCGCCTGGCGAAGTGCACAACATCGAAGAGGCCAAGAAGCCAGCGATTAAGTCGGCCAAGAAGAAAGGCCATAGAAAACTCAAACTGGACGCCAGCACCAAAGTTAAACACTAGATAAAAGTAGTCCGCCCGGTTCTGTTAGGACAGAAAGTCGTACAGGTTTTCTTTGCCACAGAGAGCACGCAAGTGGTGATGACGCGTCTGTGAAGCCTTGGTCGCCACCCCTTCCAGGAGCAACTCGGCCAGTTTGTTTGCTCCCGCCCGCGCCCCCATGAGGTTGCCAGCAGTCGGCCCGAGCTGCAATGCGGCATACCCCCCCATCACAAACAAGTTCGTGTTGGGCGCCCATCGCAATTCGTTGTCGATGGGAGGCAGACCGCCGACCGGAATACCTCCAAGGTCTCGAACTCCATCGAACAGGACCTCTTTACTCACGTCGATGTCGGAACCAGTCGCCAAAATGATGTGGTCGACCACGCGCTCTGCCGACGCCTCGCCGTTGGTTAGAGTGACGCGCAGTCGATGGCCTCCCCCATCGGCAACGAAGCGCTCGACGTTAGTCACTTGGGTGTTGCCTCGATGAGTGTAGCTCTCGGGGGTCGTCACGGCGTTCAGCTGAGCCAGCGCAGACCTCGTGACGGACCCGCCTCGCCGGGCTTCTCGAATGCGCGTCAATTTCATTTGTGGTGTCGGCTCGTCGAAAAAGTCTGCGAGCATCTTGGCCCGCATGAGGGGCGACATCCACTCGACGGGAACGTCGTAAGGCTGGACAATCAGCGTTGGCTTGCGCGTGACAAGCGTGGCGTGGTCAGCCCCCCACGTTGTGAGGACTTGGCGAACTAAATGAACGGACGTGAGCCCACCGCCAACGACTAGGACATGCTTCTTGCGAAGGCAGTTGGAAAATGCCAGAGTATGAAGCACTGCATCGCTGCTGTGGACGACCATACCCCCTTGAATGTCTAGGTGTTGCCGTAGTGAGGTCGCCCACGGTGGGATGCGGGGAATGTTTTGGGTCCCAATTGCAACGACGACGTGCTTGGCGACGATGACATTCCCATCCGCGCATGTGACTTTGAAGTGCGGCGAGTCGTGGCAGGCAAAGTGGAGTGGCTCGATCGACACTGCCTTCGCTTTTTCCACCATCGAGTGTATCCCATACAATTTGATGAGGTAGGCATGAAAGTCGGCAAAGAGTTCGCGTGATGGACACCCGAAAAACGGACGGTCGTTTTCGCTGAACAGCGACGTGTTGGTGGTGAACGCTCGATTGCGCCGGTTGAATCGGATGGACGGAGGCGGCTCGGTCACTTGGGATGCAAGCTGGTTTGTCGACGTCGCGAAGTCGCGGAGACCCTCTGGTCGAAGGGGGTCGAGGTGGACGCTGACGGGGCTGCGGAGATGCGAAATACCAAACGTTGCAAAGTTGTGATTCCACGTCGAGCACCACGCCCCCGACGGATCCAACACTCGAATTTGACGACGGAGGCTCGCCGACGCAGTCACCGCATGAGGTTTCTCGTGTTTCCCGCTCGACGTGTTCTTTCGCCCGAGTTTTTTCGTCCAGAATCCCATGTGGATTGTGTCGCGTTCAGTGAACTCGGACGATGCGTGTTCTTCGAGGAGAGTGAGGACCAAGGCAAGGGCGTGGGGGCCAGCCCCAATCACAAGAATGGGGGCGATGTCTGCCGACAGACTCGCACCAGACGAGCGACTGTCGTGGGAATGAACCATCAAGTCGTTCAGTGTTGACGGGCCGTTGATAAATGGAGTCCAAACGACTTTTTGGGGCCGGCGATATCCGACGGGATGTGAGCCGTCGTCGGATGCAAGTCCCACTTGGCGAATTGATGCCGCCGTCGGAATTATTTTCGTTCGGTGTGTTGGGAGTCAATGCTGGCGATGGCACGCCGTCGGTCAACTCCAACATGGCGAGACAGCGCTACCCCGGCGAGATGACTATGCCAGAACATTCTCGGTTCACATGGTCATGGCACGACCATCATCTGCTTTCGTAGTAGCGCCAACACGCGCCAGCACTGCACCGACTGCGGACCCTCTCGTTCTGTCGCTGAATCCATCATGCAAGTACATTCAATTCGCACATGACACATCCGCGCTTCTTGCGGGCAATGCGACACACCGACACACTGCTGACCGCTCTTACGACGCAGGCGCCGTCTCCTTGTTCTGCTCGTCCTTGAGTCGATTGCGCTCGGCTTGGAGCATGCGGCACAAGCCTTCGAGTTTGGAGATTTTGTCCTGCGCCCGCTTGGCTTCTTCGGCGACGCGGCCGCGTTCTTGCAGCATTTCAATCGCGCCGTGATCATACTGATCGCACTTTTTCTTGAGTGCGCTGTTCTCTTTTTCCAGTCGTTTGATGTGCTTGGACATCTACTTTGACCGTCAACGACATCAGCACATGACGACGATCGAAACCTTGTCCATTTCGTCGCGCAGCGTAACAAACATCGTGTTGCTCTTAGATAGGGTCTCTTGCACGACCTCAAATTTCTCCGAGTATGACGCGAGTTGCGCCTAGCGACAGATTGAGCTCGTTCGACAATGGGGCCAAGAACCCACTTGGAGGGCCACTTCACGGTCGGAAATGTTTTTCGTCTGCTCCAACGTCAATGCAACCTGCGGGGGCGGTGCCATCAGCGTCAAGAGCCCAAGCTCACCGTCGAGTACCTTTTCCGTCTCGCGCTTGGTAAGTTCGATTTGATGTTGCAGCTTCGCCTCAGCGAGTTGCACGGCCAGGTCCTTCGCCTGCAACTGATGGGCGTAATGCTCTTCACGCAGCTCATACTGCGACAGGAAAGTCTTCAGTTTTGTTTGAAGCGCTTCGTTGTCTTGGAGCGAGGCGACGTAGTCCTTGCCCTGCTGCTCCATTTTCTTGCTCACGTCTTCGATCGTGGTTTGGAACTGCTGGCTCAGCTGCTGCCGCTTCTTGTTTTCGTCTTCGGCAATGCGTCTTGACTCGGCGATGATGGCTTTGTTTTGCTTTTGCAATTCACGGCACAGCGACTCGAGCTTGCCTTTAGTTGCGTTCACTTTCATGTTGGATTCGAGCAACGTGGCCTTTTGCTCACGCATGACAATGTACTTGGAGTACACTTCACTCAATTTCTTCTGAAGTTGCGTCATATGCGCGAAAATCCCGTGCACGGTGTCGTCCATGCGGGCGACGTCCCCTTCGTCTTTACTCGCTTTCCACAGCAATCTGGACTCATCCACGAGCTTGGCGTCGCTAAATATTCCACCCATGTCCACGTCGAGGCTCGAGTCCCCCACTTGAAGCTGAGCAATCTTGCTTGTCAGCAATTCTTGCAGGTGCGATGCTCCGCCATCGTCCTTCTGTGGTTTCGGTGGTGGCTTGGCCTGTTCATCGGGACTATCGGTGCTGATGGAGTGTTGGGAGGGGCTCTGCTTGTGCTTGTGCTTCAGCGAGCGCTTCCGACCCCCATCTTCCTTGGCGCGCTCGCCTGTGGTAAGTATCGGGCTTCCGTTGTTCGTTGGACCGTCCATCCTCCTTGCGATCAAGTTGCGAGATCGCCTCAATCCTTCGGGAAAAACTACCCAATCAGCATACCGCATCGATCATTTAAAAGATGCAACAGAATATCATACTGCATCTCATACTGCATTTAAATGAATCCCTGGGAAAAATGGATTTTAAATGTATTTAAAATCCCTTGCCGACAGGACAGGGCACTATTTTAGTAGCACGTTACTGCGCTAAGATTGGTTGGTGCAACGTCCTGTGCATGTTGGCTCGGTGGCGGGCAACTCCAACACAGATTAACCGCAGCGCGTTCGTCGCAAGTCTCCCAGCGTTCTTCAGCTCCATTGAATCCGCTGGCAGCATGGCAGATCGAAGCTTTCAACAACGAAATGGTGGACGTCATGGTGGACGAGGCGGTCGCGGCGGTGGTGGTCGTGGTGGCAGCTTTCGAGGTGGAGGACGTGGTCGCCACAACCGAGATGGTGGGCGCGGTGGAGGGCGTGGCGGTGACGCATGGTTCAAACAAGAAGGTTACAACGATGGTGTGGCTAGCAGCGTAGACGAAGCCGACGTCGGCATCAAGGTGTTTCGGAACGACGTGCCTGGCTTCAACGGGATCGTCAAGCAGCGGTACTCGGATTTCATCGTGCGAGAGGTTGCCGTGGGCGGACGCGAGATTGCCCAGCTTACGGACTTGGAGCTTCCCAAGGGCAAGTCGAAGAACCGCAGCATTCACACGATGCTGGCTGACTCGCTCCAAGAATTCCTCGGCGTGTCGTTTGCAAAATCCACGGCGACCAAACATGCTCAGCAACACTCGAGCAGCACCACGGCCACGTCTAGCAATACCGCGCCTTCGGGTCTAGAGACCGTCGTGGATGCTCTGTCCAAGCGCCTCGTCGCCATGTTTCTAGCCACCCGCGGCGACGGCAAGGCGTTGCAAGCCAAGAAGAAGTTGAAAACTCTCGTCACCAAGGTCGAAACCATGTACGACGCCGAGGAAGCGAGTGCTTTGTCCGCTTTCTTGAACGATATTCAGAACGCCGAACAGGACAAAACGGATCTCGAGCTGGTGTATCACTTCCAACCGTGCAGCAGCAAGGAAGAGCGGACGGCACTCCACACGTTGATCCGCGACCTTGGCAACGACTTGGTTGTTGCCGACACTGTCACGAGCCCGTCCGGTGAGCAGATCGTTCGGCTGCGACCGCTCAAGCTCAATGGCTCGAAGCGCAAGGACGTGGATCAGCGTGGGTCAAAGGAGCAGCCGTGGCCCCACAACCGCCCCAACTACCTCAAATTCATCCTGTTCAAGAAGAACAAGGAAACCGTCGACGCGATGCAGCACATGGCGAAGCTCCTCCACATGAACTCGACCACGTTCAGCTACGCCGGCACCAAGGACAAGCGCGGGCTCACGTCGCAGTGGGTGACCGCCTACCGCGTCCCACGTGAGACCGTCGCCCGCATCAACGCCAACAAAAACTTCAAGGACTACGACGCGTATCCGTTCTTGGTTGGCAACTTCACGTACGTATCGGAGCCGCTCGTGCTCGGAGACCTCGACGGCAACCAGTTTTCGATGGTCCTGCGCAACATCCCGGCGGGTGTATCGGATGCCCAGGTGGATGCCGCGGTCGCCGCGTGGTCCACACACGGATTTGTCAACTACTTTGGTCTCCAACGCTTTGGCACCAAATCGATTCCGTCTCACATCGTACGTTGCTCCTGTATCGGTGGCACGGATGACCTCATTCGCGTCTAGGTCGGGCGCGCGCTGCTCCGCAAGGACTACAAACTCGCGACGGATTTAATCCTCCTTCCCAAGGTAGGCGACGCGACCAAGATCAAAGAAGCGCGCCAGCACTTTCAAACGTACAAAGATGTGTCGGCGGCCCTGCGCATGTTTCCGCCGTTTTTGATCGCGGAAATCGCTGTCCTGGAAGGGTTCCAGCGCCACGGGCTAGACGAACACCACCGCGCGATTCAAAACATTCCGCCGAAGCTGCGCATGGTACGCCACCCGACCAAGGGGTTGGACTCAATGCCTTCGCGATAGATATACACGCATGCGTACCAGAGCTACATTTGGAACGAAGCGGCGAGCTTTCGCTTGACAAAGTATTCGACGACCCATCCCGTTGTGGGCGACATGGTCGTCCGGGGATCGGTCGCGCCGAGTTTACAAGTCGAAGACCTCGAGGAAGACTCGGCGGCAGCCGATCCCACGGACGCGCCACCGCAAAAGAAGCGCCAACGTGTCATGGAAAGCGACATCGTGTTCATCACGGAAGAGAATGTGGCCGAGTACACAATCGAGGATGTCGTGTTGCCCGTGCATGGATACAACACGCTCTTGCCCAAGAACGACGTCGCCAACGTGTACGAGCGATGCGCAAAGGAAGACGGCGTCGACTTTGCTAGCCTCAAGCGCAACCAAAGCCCAGAGTACAACCTGCCTGGGTCGTACCGCCACGTTGTGGGCAAACCCAAGGCGGTGGCACACTGTATCAAGCGATATGATGACGAGACGATCCCGCTTGTCGAGTCGGACGTTGATCGGCTCATGCATCGCACCGTTGCCGCCTCCATCCCCGACGGAAAATTCCGTGCCATTTGTCTCGAGTTTATCCTCCGTACGTAATAGTTGTTGGATGTGGCGGCGATGTGGTGGGGGCTCACTCGTCTTGGGATGGGTTTTGGTAGAATCGTCCAGTTACGCCACGATCGCGATCCGCGAACTCCTCAAGCAAAACTCAAGCATCCATGTGCAGCTCGCGTTGAACGAACAGGGCGCGGGCCAGCCGATGGACACAACGGTGAAAACAACCACGTCCAAGTCGATTCCGATCGGCCGACCAGGATTTAGCTTAAACCACAGATAAAGAAGACGACTGCACCCCCATGTGCGCTCGTTAGTCGTTGTGGGCCTGGCCTGCCAACACTTGGCGACTCAAGCGCTGCCGCATCACTTCGAAATATACTTCAAACGACACAATGGCGCCGACAACGAGGACGATGCAGTGCACCCACGACGCGGTCTATGACATGTCGTCAACGAGAGCCATCGCCGACTACACACGCACCACGACGCATGTTTTCGTCGCTGGGTCGAACCGCCGGTTCAAGTAGCGATCGCAGTTTGGATCTGACCAAAGTCTTAGTTGGGACGACCTCGGCACCGTCGTACCTTGACACTTGTTCAAGTCAGCGCGATAGGTTTGGTCGCCAGTGCACGTGACTGCAGCTTTGCAAGTGCCGCGACGATCTAATCCTTTGCCGCATTCAGGCCTTCATCACCATGGAGAACAGTTGTCACCGTGTTCCGAATCTAGCTTGGTGGATGCCGACGAAGGGCGAAATCCAATGCGAGTGTCTTTCGCATGGACGATCAGTCCAAGCGACTGCAGCGCCATCGTGCCAAGAACTATCGGAGACCGATACATGTTGGGCACTTTCAAGTTGTCGGTGTCAATGAGGCTCTATATCGCTTCGTGAGAGTCCATCGAGTCAAGGAGGACGCAGCGAATACTTGCGCAAATGCGTCCACATCTTCGTCCACATCTGTGTACGTGAGGTGGCCGCCCAGGATGCGCTTGACGGAATACCCTGGCTGGATGCAAAGCAGGGTGGAGCTAGCATACCAGGACGACGAAGCATGAGCCACGGCAATTGAGTGGGACGGCACACGAACGAGGAATTGTCCGTCGGCAAGGCAAGCGTGCTCAGTGGAAGCGACAGCACTGGTGAAAAATGCGACAGTTGGAAACGCAGAGATGGCAAATCCTCGACGGAAATGCCGGAATGAACGACCGTGATGTTGGCGGTTGCGTTGTACTTCAAAGGAGCCCACGCGAGTAACTAGGCAAGGCGATGGGCATGTGCGGTCAAGACTGAAGGAGACATCTCCGCACCGTGGAGTAAAATTCCTTGGGCAGCGTTAGGCATGGTCTGTGGAAGTCGACGATGGCATTCCAGTATGTCGAAGTGGCTTGGGTCAGCGAAGTACCGCACACAGACAGGTGAAATACTGGGACAGAGGCCGTCAAGATCGAGACTCAGCCAAGATCCACTTACTCGGAAAGCTGGTAAAACGTTGGTAAAAGTAATCGTCTGCTGCATTCATGGGCTCCGACCAAACGACCGTGTCTAGAGTCGAAGGGTGAGGTTGGGGTCATCGTGGTGACAACTCAACCAGGTGAAGCGCCGAATTCGAGACTGGCTGCCCCCGTGGCATAGTCCATCCCATTGTATGTGTATTGCATGGTGTTCGAGTCGGACCTATTGACGTATGGCCATAGGTGCTCTGTGCGTGTCGACTTGATGCCGACGCCGATGACCCCGTCGATTTTCCAAGGTCTGCAGGGACATCAGCATCACATGACGACGGGTGCAAACGTGTACATGTGTGCGTGCGAGGGTCGTCGAACGATCTTCACCATCGTCTGGACGGGTTGTCCATTGACTGTCGCGGACACTTGACTGTTGCGGTACTTTTGTTCTGCAGCCCCCATGTCGTTGAAGAGGACAATCCCTTGTGTCTTGGGCGACAAGAGCATTCGTTTTTGAATTCCATCCATGACGATGTCGATCCAAGGGTTTGCGTACGTGTTGGGGATCACATCACGAGTTACCACCATAGAACTCGCCGCCGCCATGGCGCCACCCCATGCGACGACACCCCATCGCATGGCAACACAATCCGGATAACAATGCCAAGCATCCGGTGTTTACAGCCAATCAAAACAGAGCCTCGTGCTCCACTTATTGCAACCGGATAGTATCCGGACGTTCCCTCAAGTGCGGTTTGAAGTTGTGTTGGTGGCCAATCGAGGATGCCGCGGAAGGGAGGAAAACGAGTGAGGCGGCGCCGCGTCGATGCATCGTCTCATGGATGTCATGCGTGTAGAAAAAGACCAGGACCCATGTGGCGACTGGGGCCGCGACGAACGCAGACGACAAAACGCCCAAGAGTTTTGTCTTCAAATTGGGCAAAGCACCAGGGTGCATCATCTCCCTCGTGCAGGACATGCGTCAAGTGATGCTGCCGTTCACCGCAGATCGCCTTCGCGAAAAGAAGTCAGTACACGTGATTCCTATGACGAGCCCTTGTCCAGGTCGATATCATGCAGGTCCTCCATCGAGTAGGAAGAACACGATCCAGGACTTTGTCCACGTCGCCGCGCCATTGGGTGTGTCGCACTTCCTCGCGTTTTCCAACACGGATGCTGGCACAAACATGAAGCTCGTGCGCCTTCCCCGCGGTCCGACACTCTCATTCAAGGTTCGGATTCGACCTCCAGTCGACCGCTCGCCTCCTTACGCCGCTGACTCCCTTAGGTCGTGCGGTATTCGTTGATGAAGCACATCCAACGCATTCAAAAACGCCCCGTTGACGCGTCGGTATGTATTTGCATGGACTCGCATGCCTTGCCCGCCCTCAGAGGACACCTGACGAACATGACGACTGCAGTTGGCGTTCAAGACGTCGCCTTTGGTGGTCCTGAACAACTTCACGGGCACCGAAGATCACATCAAGGTACCTCGATCGATTCTCTGCATCTGTCGAATCTGATATCCCCACTTGTAGCTGCTCAATGTGACATTCCAAAACATGTTTCCGGCCATCGACGTCCAGACGATTCAGCTCTCCGAGTGCCGTCGGGTGGTGCTATTCCACTACGACAAGGAAGAAGACCTAGTCGAGTTCCGCCAGTTTGTCATTCGAGCCATGCCGCTGGGTCTGTCCAAGAGGTATGTGGCTACACCCACGACGCTCTCGGAGAACGATGGGTGTTTAGCGTCAAGACCCTCGTGAAGTCGCGCGTGCCAAACCTTGGCAACATGGAAGACATTGCCGATTTTGTCTTTGGCGGCACCAACACTGGCATGACGTCGGACAGTGAAGTGGACGACGAAACGGCGCACGTCGTGCTGCCCGACAAATTCCGTGGCCGCGGCAACCAAAAGGCCGAGAAAAGGTGGGCTTGCGTTCGTTGTAGCTTGTACGAACCGATCGACGGACTTTGATTAGTGCTGTGCGGCTTGCCGAAGTCGGACCTCGCCTCACGCTCAAGCTGACCAAGGTCGAGCGCGACTTGTGCGATGGCGACGTGCTGTACCATGCCTACGGTGAGGCGTCCCCGGTGCTCACTCGCGCGCGGCTCACGGTGACTTTGTGCAGTTCAAAAAACACCGGAGGAAGCGGCGAAGCTCAAGGCGAAGAAAGACATGGCAAACGCACTGAAGCGCAAGCGTCGCGAAGAACAGGAACAGAACGTGAGCAAGAAAGAGCAGGCAAAGGAAGAGAAGAAGCAGAACAAAGCGATCAAGAAGAATGCGGTCGAAAACAAACGCCGCCAACTCATGCAGTACGCCAACGAAGAGGACGTGAGCGACCTCGAAGACGCCGAGTACTACCGCCAGGAAGTCGGCGAAGAGCCCGACGCGTACATGTTTTCAGATCGCAAGCCAAAGGAACCAAAGAAGCCGTTCGACAAGAAGAAAAACAGTGGCGCCGGCAGTCGTCGCAGCGACAACGGCACGTCCAAAGCGGGTGCCAAGTTTGCGGGCAAGAAGGAAAGCGGCAAGGCCGCGTTCAACAAGTTCAAAGGCCACGCCGGCAGCACCAAGAAAGGAGGGCCCAAGAAGTCTGGCGGCCGACGAAAGTTCGATCGACAGTAACACGGCGCAAACAAACGCTCGACAAAAAATCATCTATATCTCTACCCTCGTGTGTCGTCGCTGCATCCTGCGCTGCAGAATGAAAACCTATCGAGCCATCGCACGCCTCGACATGCAATTCGATTCGACCGGGAACCATTCATTTTCCAAACCCGACTCGCCGAGAACACGTACAAGATGGCATTCTCCACAAAGGTGGTGGGGTTGCTGCTGGCTGCCGACTCCATCGTCATGCCGACGTCGTGGGCACACAAGGTAGCATGCGCAAGTCGGGAAAGGCATCCATGGCTGCCAAGCCTTTGAGAAACACCGCGTTGGGCGTGAGCCAGTCGTCGAGGAGCAGCCCTTCGGTGTAATGCCCTGGCGACGGGTTGTACTGGTACGCACTCTCGGGATTTAGCGACCACATGAACCCGCCGGCGTACTTTTCTTCGAGCATGATCTCAATCAGCAAATCTGTCACACGTTTCGTTGTCTTGAGTGGGTGGGCGTCCGTCGCGTACAGGCCAGCAAACTCGCCCATGACGACGGCATCCGTCTGCCTTTTGTTGACGTGGCCAAACATGTCAAAGGACGTGCCTTGAATACGGCGCTTGAGCGTCTGGTCATCGAGTTCGTCGCGGACGCCGCCGGGGCCGTACAAGTATGGCTGCGGAAACACACCCGTGTTGTAATAGTGCGGCGCGTACACGACCTTGTGTGGGGTTTGGAGGGTCACTGGGTTCGCCCGCGCTTGCTGGAGGCCGCCGCCCCACCAGTCAAAGTACTTGAACGCTGTGCCATCGATGGTGACGCTCTTGGTCCCGTCGTTCACGCCTTCGACGTAGATGGACCAGTTTGGACATCCCTCTGATGGTTCAACACCTCGTCAGGTTTGCTTGAAAGAATCGGCGTACGTACCGAGCATACGGTTCCCGATTATGGTGGCGCCTTCCGCGAACTCAGCCCACGTCGCTTCGTGCGGTTCGTTCTTGGCATCGAGCCCCATGACGTTCCAGTACTCGTTTGTGCACAGTGACTGGGTCAAGATGTCGACTGCCTCGAGAAAGTCGGCCTTCGACACCCCCAACGCGTCGCTGTACCAATTGCCCCCGGACTGCATGGTAGTCAGAGTATGCAGCGAAATCAGCACCCCGATGCGGCGAAACGCGAGCACTTTGATGATCGACTGCAGCATCGTCATGTAGTTGGTCAAGTCCAGCGCTCGATTCGACTCGACATTCACGAGGCTCTTCGCCGGCTTTGTGTTTCGGAGGATGCTCTGAATGCACACGGGAAGCCGCACCGCATTGAATTTGTTGGCTGCCAGAAACGCCGCGAGAACAAACTACAAACGTCATTCCATCGGCTACGTGCCGGCCATGCCGGGAAATCGAGCAATGGAGGTACGTACCGCGGTGGTGCCATTCTTTTGATTTTCCCACAGTCCAAACGGCACGGCCAGCCCTGTTTCCATTCCAAACCTACCGCCCCGTGACGCCCTGCATGCCAAGGGAACCGCTGCACGAACCAGTTGACGCCCTTGATCGAGATCGCAACCTCCGTGCCATTCTTCGTCACTGCGACGATCTTGCCGTTCTTGCTTTGATAGTCCAATTGAGCGCATTCTGGGAACATCGGCAGCGATGAGCTGGACAGGTCGATGGGTCAATGAGCGGGTCGTACGCGATGTCGGATACGTCTTCGGGTTACCGACTTGGCCGTCGTCGGCCGGGGACCCAATGACCGAGTCCATGACGTCGCTTGGAAGCAGTGTTCCCGACTTGTTGCGGAAGAGCAACTCATTTACCTTTTGGGTGCGCTCTGTCGATGACGCATGCGCGCGAAATGCAGATGTGGTGATGATGGCGATGGCACTGACAACGCACACAAACACGAGCAAAAGGCCTGGCCAAGTCTAGCCATGACACGCCGTGACGAGGAATCCAAGGCACAACCTTTCCTTGAGCTCCAGCAACGACATGACGTACCCGAATGCGACCTTTGTACTCGCGGTGGGATTCTATCTTGGCTTGGCACGCTGGAACAATCACGACCTTTACTTCTGACGGACGCGGTTTGCCAAGACAGGTCGACGACGACGACGAAGACAGTCGAACGGACTCGCGCCACTGGTTCATATTCAACCTGTGATCGTCGGCTGCGTCGGTAGCAGTTCCGTGATCCGCCATCGTGCGGCGACAGAGCACGTTGCAGAATGAAGTGGTAACGCCATCGTCACATCGCTCCGCCGCGTTCGGGCGAGACACCTCGAATGTGCTGAACTCCAAACTAGTCGCGTGACCCCACTTCAAAAGGATAAAACGTGAATTCGAGAAAAATTCGAAGATGCAAAATAGAATAGACAGACTTGATCCGACCGTCTGGTCAACGTGAAACCAAATAAAACGTCCATGGAGTCATTTTGATAAACCTCACAAAATGTAAGTCACTCGACCGGAATCGTCAAAACTTCAACCGTGTTTGCGTGCGCCCGCATCTCGTCTCGAGATCTCGGCCCGTGGTACACGATCAAGGCAAGTAACGCAACACTTTGCTGGCTCGGTGGGTGGCCTGCGCCCTCATGCCTTCTGCCCCTCGCCGTCCCAACATATCGCCAGCACAACGGAACGAATCGTCGTCACCACACACTGTCGACGCCATTCCCGACCTCTTCGTCCACAGTCTACACCGCTGTCTGTAGCAAGCATTCACAGCTAACGGAAAATGGATGAAAAATGACGGCTACGGTCGACTTGCCGCAAACTGCAGGTGTTTATTTTGCCAGTGGTGCCAACGTGCCAGTGGCCAGGGAGCACGTGTCGGCTGTCACCCCAAATGCCGCGCTTTCTCGAGCTGCACCAAGTCCAGCACCTGCCGCGTATTGCCCGAAGTTGCAAGCCATTCCTTAAACTTGACTTGGATAGCCTGCTCCAATAACTTCTTCGTGGGCGCGTCGAACTCGTCGCTGGCAATGAGTCGTCGCAACCCGTCCACGTTGTCCTGCATCTTGCGAACAGCCAACGCAAAGTCTGGTGGCAGGGCGAAAGGTGGGTCCTACGCTCCATATGACGACAATTGCCAAGCAACTATGGATCGATTGTACGTGGGGAGGCACTGGATCCATCTTGACTGGCACACACACTTCGGTAAAGTGCAGCGGGGACTGCAGCACGACGTCGTCGGCATGGACGGTGCCTTCGCGCTCTACCAGCGATGGAAAACGAGCCACGGTGTCGACAACGCCAAAGATATCGGCAGGGAGCAGCAGCCTACCTTCTGTGTCCAGGTTGATAAACTTGTTCCATTGCCCAGTCGAATGACGCACGTAGGCCAGTCCACTCTGCCCCAAGTGGACGGGCAGATGAGCATACAACGCGTTGAACGGGCCCACGTGCAAGCCGCGGTTGTCGCCGGTAAAGATGCTCCGTCGTGGCGTGAAGATGTTGAATGTCGAGTCCAAACAATTGCTACGCAGGCATGACATCATACAGACGCAGAGCTAAAGCTTGCAAAAGAACCCACTTGACGCGAAGCAGTGCACACACCGCCGACACTTTGGTGCTGTCGCATCGATCGACAGTGCAAATGCCACTCGCCGGACCCAGTACGATTTTGCAGTTGGACGATGCCACTACACTGACGTGTCGAAGCGGCCCCAGCACGTAAATGTACGTGTCATGGCAGCCATGGATGGTCACGTCGCAATTCGCGGCAAACTCTTCGGCCCGTTTGATCACGGTAGCCTTTGACACACTCGAGATCACGATAGGCCTACAGTGGCAACGAGAATTGCCATGGTACGATCAGTGCTCACGGCGTGAGGATGGATGCGGGGAACGAACCGAGGCAACTCGACAAGCGGCGCCTGAGTGTGGCCGTCCAGAGGGCCCTCGTCCACTTCTATTCGTTGTACATGAGTGACTTGCACGTGGTGGGAGGCGGCGTGATGTCGTACCCATTTCTTGCAGCACTGGAACGTTCATGTGCATACTCGCAATCGGGTTGTTCGACAGCGCAAACGAACCAACTGGAGGGTACAACGTGTCGTTGAGAGCGGCGCGCTTCCGCAGCCAGTTGCACACCTTGGACGCTGCCTGGTGCGGCGGCTGAGAGTCTTGCCACTTTGGGTACGCGGCGCTGAGCGACGGGTACTGCAGGAGGTGAGTCGTCCCGCCATTAAACAGAAACCCGAGCATGTCCAGTTGCGATGCCGTGATCGCATGTGATTGCGCCTCGTCGGTTGGATCGATGTTAAACAAGAGACTGAAGAGGAAGGTCAGGTTGGCCTTGACAAAGTTGAGTGCGTGGGTTTCCGACTCGAGACGGTCCCTTAACCCGACAGAATGCGGGGACGACGGCGAGCTTGGCGCGGCCAAGTGAACGGGGGACGTTGAGCCACTGGATAAAGGGCTTGACATGGGGTGGTCATCCTTTCGCCATCTGCAAGGAGAGGATGGGTTGCCCATGAGACTGTCTTGTGCACAAGCGCACGTACACTGCGTCAAAAAATGGTTTGGCACGATGTTTCGACAACGACGTTTTCTTGTCGGTGTGTAAGAGGACGAAAATAGCGAGCTTGAAGAGAGGGACATGCTCCTGAAGGTAGTAGTCTTCGTCGGCGAGGAACGAAGGATCACGACGATCCATTGCATCATCCACGGACGGAACGACGATTTGGTGATGAAGAAACACGAGGACGAGCCAGAACCTACGATGTGGTCATCTGTCTCAAGACGCACTGGATCGTGAAAGGCCAAGGATCGTACGAGCGGCACTCGTTCTCTTTCCATTGAAATGTCGATTCCGCAACTCTCTTCCACATGGCATATCTACGACAGATCGAATGTCAAAGATGACGTCAGTCACATGCACGGATCATGAACGTACGAGATGGCGTGGGTCAGAGGAGCGCTGGGCAATGGTTGCGATCCGACTGTTGCATGTGCAGTCGTCAGCTCGACAAGGGATGCCACGGCATTGCTGATGAGCTGCGGTGTCAGCTTGGCAACGCACCGCGACTGGAGTTGCAGCGCGAAATGCTCAAACAGCTCCATGCGGAGCCACAACCGCTCGGTCATGTTGGCCAGGATTTGCTGGCGAGTTGCTCCAGCACCAGTTTCGGAACGTTTTATCCGGGATTATCCGGATACTGATCGGTGTGTCCCATTCAATTTAAAGGTTCAAATATTCGTGGGGCATCGCCAGTCTATAGTCTGTCCTTTGCCGAGAACATCGCCGCCATGTCCGTGAAGATGGAAGAGAACTCGGTACGAAAGCGAATTCTGTTCTCTATGAGGGATGAAGTCATCATCACAACCACGCGATGTAGAAGAGCCGCCAGCTCTCCCAGTGCAACGAGGACGCATGGACCACTCTCGCCCGCATCTCGGAAATGATGGGAGACGATGAAAACATGCTCATGTCGTACGAAAAGGTGTTGTCGCACAACCGACTGAACCCCGCCGCACTGTATGGCATTGGATGCTGCTACGAGAAAGCTGAAAGCTACAACAAGGCCGCCGAGTGCTTCCGTGGCCTGGTCAGCCTTGGTGGCGAGCAGCAGAACAACACGGATGCGTGGGGCCATTTGGGATATTGCTACATGATGTTGAACGATTTGTCCAACGCCCACACTGCGTACCAATACGCCATGTACCAGAACCCGCGGTCCCAGAGCGACCCGACGTTGTGGTTTGGCATCGGACAACTGTACGAGCGGTCGGGGTCCTTGGAACACGCTGAAGAATCGTTCCAGGTACATTTCGTTTAAATGCCGAGTAATGCTTCTTACAAGTCGAGTAGGCGGTGCTCAACTTTGAACCTCCGTTTAACATGGCGTTGGAAGCGCGGATTCGCCTCGGCATCATCGCCAAGCAGCGCGGCGACCTCGACGTAGCGATAGAGCGTCTCAAGTCCGTCTTGCCAATTGCGCAAACGAACGACATGCTGAGCGACGTGTGGACGCAAATTGGCCACGTGTACGAAATGAAGTCGGACGTGCCACTTGCCCAAAGCTCGTACATGAAGGTGGTTGAGCTCAACCCGACCAATGCAAAACCTTTGCAGCAGCTCGGCTGGCTTTGCCTCAAGCACAATCAGCACGTGGAGGCCATCAAATACCTCAAGAAAGCCGTCTCGATCGGTACGATTCCCGTTTGTTCGCACCCACTCGAAGCCTCCTATGACATGCCTTGCTCTAGACATGCAAGACGGTAAGGGGTGGTACCTCCTCGGCCGGTGCTACATGGCCGTCCGAGAGTTTGAAGAAGCGTATGACGCGTACAAGCACGCTGTCAACTTGGATCCGTCCAACCCGAACGTGTGGTGTTCGTTGGGCGTACTCTTTTACCAGCTGAACCAGCACTTGGATGCGCTCGATGCATATTCCCGAGCGATTAACATCAACCCCAACATTTGCGAAGTCTGGTACAACGTCGGTACACTATATGACGCGTGCAACCAAACGAACGATGCCCAAGACGCGTACCAAAAGGCGGCCGAGTTGGGCGCGGACGCCCAGTTCATCCGTGAGCGCCTCGACCTTCTTCGAGCTCGGGAAGCCAACCAGCCTACGACGGGCATGCCTGGTGCCAACGCATCTCCCGGTCCATCGGAACCGCCGACCACATCCCCCATGCCGTCATTCACGTCCAAGAGCACTCCTCCTGCCTCGAATCCTGCTCCAGCGCCGCAACAAGGTGGCAGTCTGCAGCAGCCACTCCCTGGTAGCAACCAAGGTCCATCCATGGGTGGCCCTCCTATGTCCGTGCCGCATAACATGGGAGGAGGCCCTTCGCAGCAAGGAGGAAACCCTGGCTCAATAAGCGGCGGCGGCCCTTACAACCCCAACACCGGTGGCGGTGCCCCAGGAATGATGGGTGCGCCAGGAGGGATGCCTCCTATGCTGGGGCAAGGTCCTTCTAACAGCATGCGCCCGATGAGTCATCGTGGCGGTGGCCCCATGGGCGGACTGAGCGGTCCGATCAGTAGTGGTGGCGGCAACATTGGCATGGGCGTTCCCCGTGGCATGATGGAGCCTCAAGGTAATTCGTTACTAGAAGGAATCATGGGCTGACGTCGTGGTTTGCTCTAGGCCGCCGATAAGTACTCGAATTCCACATCCTGGTGTGGCATGACCCCGAATTTATTGCAGCACCAATTCAGACGTCGCTATGTTTCGTTGCCGTGTTGGGTTGTTTGGTACACGAGGCGTAGTCGCTGGACGTGATCGCGCTGCAGTTGTAGTTTCAATTCGGCCAAGTGGAGCTACACACTCGAGTTAGAAAGCAGAGTGGACGTTCGTTAGCACGTTCTCGACGTACGTTCGCTAAATGCTCCGACTTCTCGGCCTCCGTGTAAGCGTCCCACGCGAGTTCCACAGCGCGCCGCTTGGTCTCGACTGCTGCGGCCGCGTCGACAATGTCGGCTTCGTACTCGCTGAGTTGATCATAGAGCTAGCGAAGACAGAGGTTTGTCCGAGGTGTATGAACGTCAGCAGGGCCGACCATGTCAACGTCGAGTCGGTGCTGCAGGTCGTGCATCTGCTTCCACGTGTGTTCGTCCATCTGCCATGCATACAAGCATGATGGGGATAGTCGTGTGGAAGGGAAAGAGTTGGGTACCCATAGGTTTCGAAACGCTGCTTCCACGACCGGACGCAATACGACATGGCTACTACGACACAAGTCGACGGGAGGGCATGGCACAACTCCGATGGCGAGATCCGTCTAGACCAAATAAAGCTGCGTTGTCGTGTGTTGGAGAGGTTGGTGCGCACCTGCGGCTCCAAATGGATCCATTCGCCGGCTACCATGTCCCAAAACCGCTGGTCGCCCGTCGACCCACTCGAGGCGAAACACTCCAAAACAGACACCACTAAACACACCAACACAACAGTGAGGTGTGTGCTCCGATAGACCAGGCCAGGACCATCCACGACGGGTCGTGTCTCCCGCTTCACAAGAGCGTGTGGCCCAGCGAGCAGTTGCAAGTCCGACCCAAGGCCGCAAAGTCGCTGGAACACGGTCCACTTTTCGATCGCGCCAATTTGTGTGGGTTTGTCGGCTTCGGCCAACACGTCCAAGTGCAAGAAGAATCGCAAGGCGTCGGCGACGTTCGCTTTGTACAGTTCAATTGCTTGGTGTACACGATGGCCATTGACTTCAGAGCAGCTCTGCAAGGCAGGATCATGCAAGGACCACCAGTACGAGAGGTGGTAGCTACCACGTCGACGCTTCGTTCGGCGATGGCAGCACAGACAGCTTGTAAATCGGTCCATGAATTCCCCACTACAAAGGGACGGACGGTCATGCACAAGGTCAAAACCAAACACTGTGGACAAACTTGATGCGAGGATCAGCGCACGTTCATCGTCGGAGAGATCGAGTTGATAAGTGGCCTAGCTCAAGACGGTCACTTCGCTGCTCCTGCAGGCCCGTCAAGGGAAAGTAGCGACCAGCAGCAACGATAGTTTGGTGCTTGCGTCGGTTTGGTCAAAACTAGGAAGGTCACATGAAGGATCCGCACGCCAAGCGAACTACAATGACCAACCTTCCGCTCTGGGGGCGGACTAGGAGGCAAACATCGTTCTGGGACCTGTCCACGATGACCTCGCGGATGACGCGGGGGAGGTCCGTCAACCAAACGACATGGGCTACGTGCACGAGTGAGCAAAGGGTCCATCGTTGCGGCGAACCAACCAAGGTGGTTGCTACACAGTCGTTGAAACCACAAATGCATGTGGTCGACTTCGGTGGCATCCCATCCCTCGACAAGGTCCTTGCGATTGACGGCAATGAACAGCGCCATGCTGCCCACAACATCGAACTCGCGAACTCTTTGTAAAGCTGACGTGACGACAGTGCGCTGGTGAGCTCGAATCCTTTGCAGACGCAAGGGTCGATAACAGAGCGCGGCGATGGACGAGGGGTGTCGTACTTGGAGAGATATGCAGCATCGTCGAAGCCACTCTCGACCAAGTACTGGATCGAGCGAAGACAATGCAGGGCACGAACCCATGCGTGTCGAAGGGAATGCGACGACGGCGGAGCGGACAGTGTGGGTGGAAATAAGTTGCCTGGCATGAGCGACAAGTCAATAGCCTTGTCGATGTATGGCCCACGCGAATGACATTGTACCCAGATCCATTCGCGTGCCACCTTCAAGGACCCTACGGAGCACAATAATCAGCGTTAGATTTGAGTGACTACGTTATATTCCAACCGTACTTGCTTATGACTGTATCAGGATCATCTTGTGGCGGGAGCACCAGCATGTGGGGAAAGCTCGGTTGTGTTTGCATGAGCCTCGTGGCGTTCAACTCTTCGTGTTTCTCAACCTACTGAAGGGAGTTTCATCTCCTCCCTAGCCACGACTCATGGCGAACGCACTCGAGTCTCTCGGCTGGCTTCACAGGCTGCAATCCATTCGGATGTCAAGAGCGCGACCTCCGACGCATGCTCCGACTCCACGAACAATGCACCAGTTAGCCCTGCACCAGTGCACACAGCTACATATCTCTTGCGTGTCAACACGTCAAGGGCACGATGCAATCATCACCGCAGTGCGCTGGCGTCAAACGCGACAAGACCCATCGGATGGCCGCCATGTTGACAACGTTGGAATTTGACGCAACTCTAGCATTATCCGGATGTTGTATCCGGTGGACACTGGAACAAAGCGCATGGACACTATGATACATTTCGTTAGCAGCTCAACCCGTCCGCGCCGCTAGCCTAGGATCCGACTCAGTGAGAAGCTCCCCGCCATGGACGGCTGGTTGTTGCGCTCGAGCGTTGTTCTGCACGACGCGACGTGGTGGTCCTGGTCGACTTTGACCCGTTTGGCGGCGCGGCGGCTTTCCTGCGTCGCGGCCCGCTTTTCCAGCGCGACCAAGCGAACGTCCAGCGCTTCCATCGATCCAAACATCTCGAGGAGCGTAAACCACTGCAAAAATACCTTCTTGGACGGATCGCACTGGCACAGTTTGTCCGCGTGGCGCAGACACGCCACCTTCGTGTGCGAACAACTGCACGCAATGCCGGAAAAGAACAAACTGTGCTTGCATGCAACGCACTGCCTTCGGTCGTCGTAGCCCATTTCGTCGTCCGTGAGCGCCTCGTTTCGTTTGGTCATCGCCACCACCGTCACGATGCCAGATTTCACGAGTTGGTCGCGCAGACGAATTTCTTCGTCCACAAGGCGGTTGAGCTCGTCCATGAGCATGCGGCTGGCTTGCACCAACGCGCCGACGTCGTCGTCGTGGTCAGCGTCGTCCGGGAACAAACCGCGCTTGGCCAGCACCGACATGAACCGATCGTGTGAAAACACCGAGAGCCGGCCAACTTCTCGGTACCGCTCGCTGCAGACACGGCCAAACGGGATCCAGTCGGGCAGGCAAAAGTTGACGGCTTCGTTGCAGTTAAACTAGCACCGCCCGCGCTTGTTACACCCGTCGCGTACAACGGTGAGATGAAGGGACATACCCCTTGGCTAAATCCGCAATGGTACCCCTGCGGAAACGTCACAACAATGTCGCCAGGTTCCTAGGCACAGGACGACATCACTCGGCCGCGGTCGCATGACTCCAACCTGGATGAGCGAATACACGTCGACGTCGTGCTGCCGGAGGACGGTGGGCGACACCATCGTGACCAGCTAGACAGCGACAACGCATGACCGTTGCACCTGCATGCGATGGACGTACATGGAAGAAGAGGTCGGGTTTTTTGGCAAATCGATCAGGGGTGAGCGACTTCCACACAGCTTCAAACTTGTCGCACGACGCGGCCGGGATGCCATACCAGTGCTTCTTTGCCCCCGTGTGCATGTAATTGGCGCTGTACAACGAATTGTCCTCAAAGTGCCAGCAAAAGCTCGCAAAGAGCATGCCAAAATACACCCACGGAACGTTTACGCCGTTGATCTGGGCGTCAATGTGGCGCAGGAGCGACCCGCGCGCCGACGGCAAATTGTTGAGGTTCCACGCCGTGTGGTCGTAATATGCGCGACTGGAAAAGTCGACGTGTTCTAGTGGCATCGACGCTGTAGTTTACGTCGTGGGTCGTGCCGAGAGACCGTACCGTGCGGGTCATCGCGCCGGGCGTCGCGAGCGACCTGCGGAAACCCACTGCCGACGATCGAGATGTCGAGGTCGTTGGCATATTCCACCTACAACATGGAGTGAGCGCCAACGCAGCAGTCACGGGTGGCGACTCGAGCACCTCGAGCGACTCGTACGATGTTTCGACCACTTTCCAGTATTCTTTTTCAAAATCGCGGTCCGTCCAGGTCACCGGGTCGATGCCCTTGCGCGCAAACCACGCTGCTTTGAACTCATGCGCTGCCTTCCGGTACGAGTGCAGCGTATGGTCCTTGCCATCCCTGTACGACTTGCCTTCTCGCAACCGATGGACCTTTTGCAGTTTCGTCTCAAATACGTTCGTGTTGTTGTCGTAGTGGATCATATGCGGCGGCGCCCACCCCTTTGGCGGGACGATCTTTGCAATGCCATAGCGCGCTCCTTCCTTTGCGACATAATTCAGATACGCGATCGGGTTGGCAAACTCTTCCACGGACGGGTAAAACACGCGCGCAGGGGCGACGGGGGCCATTTCCTCGTAGCCCGCTTCCTTGGCACGGCGCTCCATATCAAGACGCAGCATGTGGTCGTCGAACACGTCTTGATCTGTCTCTGGATAGCTTACGGGGCGGATCGGCCGACCACTGCGACTTGTCGCGGCCGGGGGGCGTCGGCGCGGCGACGACGACTCGGACGAGCTGCTGCTTTCGTCCGACTCGTCGGACGATACCTCCGAATCAAGGGGGCATCCAGGGGTAGAGTCACATTGCGACGTGCTGCGACTCCCCCCACGACCACCTCCGCGCCCGCCGCGGCCCATGCCGCGTCCACGGACATCCCCACTTCCTCGCATGTTCAACTGTCCAAGCGTTGATCGACCAAACTACAAATAGTGGATTTCCGTGTGGGAGTGTGTTACGGTGGGTGAAGTTTGGTCTATTTTATTTTATTATCTGCATTTCACTATGAGGCCTCGGTCCATGACGAAGCGCATGACATAAAAACACGAAACAGATTCGTCTGGCTTGGCGTGACCACAGTGCGTGGGCTTGACCAGAGGCCCGTCGTCGGCGGCGTCCTCTTGAGCGCGTGCATGCAGTTCTAGTTGACGGGATGCATGTGCATCCACCTGCGCAGACTCCTCGCGTCCCTGCAAGCCGAGCGTCCTCTCGTCTTCCGTAAAGCTCGACCGACGCATGCGAATCCGGCCTCCTCGTTTCTACACATGCGCCTATTTCCAGATGTGGCTCCTATAATTAGTCAAACCGAAGATCGGCGCTACATGGTGGTGGCCGCGCGCGCGGGGGAACGCAACGACGACGAGCTCTCGAACGACTCGATGCCACCCCACAGCATTCCGTCGGAAGGGAAACTTGTCTGGCAGTCGCCTGGCAAGGTAGGACCGTCGTACTGAACACACACACTGCGCATGGATGGATGGTCATGTGGACGCTCTCATCATGCCCCCCGACGCCTGCAATGCATGCAATGATGATGCACTCGTCGCCCTGGGAAGCAGCTTCATCCCAGGGCAACGAGTGCATCATGCATTTGTTCGGAGTCCCCATGGCGCGTCGTTTTGTGGACGAGAACGTGGCAGCGTGCGCCGTTGACAGTCCCGCTCGAGTTGGCGAACGCTGAACGAGGCTCTGGGCATGACTGCCCGTGTTGACAGACTACTTTCACCCTGGTGGGAAACGGGCAGGTATTCACAGGCATGTCGATTTCCCAAGGTGGAGGCATCGACACGACGACCGGCCGTGATCGACGCTTGCGTTTGTAGGTTTGAACACGAGCGACGTCGTACCGAGCTCCTGGTGCAGTACACGTTGACGCGATGGCCGACGCCCCGCTCGATGCCACTCCCGAGACTGTGACGACGACCTGCGCCTCCTATCGACCATTCAGCTCGAGTCGTTGTGCAAGCTCCGCGACGCCGGGAGCAATCTAGCCAACGACGTGATTGAATCCGCCTCCATGATAACATGCCCGTGGTACCCACAGGCACAAGCGCCTCGCGTCAAGGGGGTCGCGGCTCGCGGTCCGCGCAGCGGGCTATTCGCGGAACGCCCGTTACGCGCACAAAACGGCGACTTGGCGCAGTGACGCCGTGCCATCTCGCCACCGTTCGACGCACCGACACATCGTGCAAATTGGACAAGATGACGGCGGCGACAGAATACTCCAACGCATACGTCGTCGTGAAAGAGGGTGCGGGGTGGAGGAGTCGGGTGTGGGTTCCGTTGGGGTTCGTCTACGTCGCGTTCAGCGTCGGATGCAGTCTCGCGTACACGGTTCTCCTTGCCGAGTACACGACCAACGACTACTGGTGGCGCCAGTTCAACACGACTGGCGGCCAGACCTTTATCGCGGACCTCTTCAACGATATGATCACGTTGCGGCAACTCGGCGCATTTGACCTGTACGACGCGGCCAGGCTCAGCGCCTACGACGACAGAGTGACGTTCATTGACATGCCTGCCACGGCGGCGCGTCGGCTCGTCATGACCGCGATTCCACTCGAGAAAGCGCTCGCGACCATTCGTCAAAACAGCTTGTACGAGAATGCGTACTCGATCGTGGCCCACTGCTGGGTGGATTTCGACCGTCGGTTCGAAATGGCGCACACGGCGGCGCGGCAACGGCGTTGCGCTAGCCGCCGCCTCGACAACGCTGGCGTGTACTTGGAAGTTGTGCTGCGCAACGTCGACTACGACGACTTGACGCTGTCGTCGTACGGCATCCAGGTCCACCAAACGATCCTGGCTCCGATTCACGCGATGCCAGGTGGCCCGGCGTGGGTGACCAGTGTGTACAACCACACGCTCCAGTGGATACCTGCAGAGGACGAAGTCTCGTTGTGGCGGCGCCATGGCCTTCGGCACTTTACGTTGCAGTTCCAGAACCGATTTCAGTATGGCTTGGACAGCAGCATCACGATTGTGAACGCCATGATGGTGACGAAAACAATGACGATTGCCACGATGCCGTACATCGATCGAGGCCTGGCGTCGTGGTCGACGCGCACGATATCGGTCGGGCTCTGGAGCGACATGGTGAAAGCAATCGGGTTTGGCGCGAATCTCGTGCGCAACTCCAACATGTCTGTCGAAGCGGTCGGCCGCGACTGGGAGATCGCGTACTTTGGGTCGACGTCGACGGTCGGGACGACCTTGATGCGACAGTATATCGGACCCCTGGCGAACTGGGACACCACGCACGTGCTGCCTCCGCAGTCGCTGGTCGAGCTCGTGGTGGCGTTCCAGGCGCGCTTTCTCGCCGCGATTTCTCGAGGGGACCCTTCCATGGCGATGGTAATGAACTCGCTTGTCCCATTCGACATCGAAGTGGCGCCACCCCGGTGGATAGGCGACAACATGGCGTATTACGGCGGCAATCCCATCTGCGCCCATGCCACGACGGGCCGGTCGTATGTCCAAATGCCGTTCTCGTTTGACGACACATGCCAATCCCAAACACCGTTTCACATATCGCTGGATGCCCCAGGCGTGGTGTTTGCCATGCTCTTAGCCAACATCACGGCACCGGAGAGCATCTTCGATGCCTGCTCGTGCGCGACGGCGGCGTTCACGGCAGCGTGCGAACAAATCCTCGCGACGGCACTCGCCCCACTGCCTGCCTTCCAGTCCACGTTGGACGCACAACTGCTTGTCGCTGCCATGCACGACATTGAAGTCGTCAACATCTCGCTCATGCAGATGGCCACCGTCAACGTGTCGAAGAACGTGCTGCTGGTGCAGCCCATCGTAGGCGACACGGCGTGGTCGCTTTTTGGATGGGCTACCTTGTTTGACTGGGTCGACGGCACACGGGAAGTGTTTACGTTTGAGGGCGACGCGGGGGCTCTCACGCTCATGTCTGACCGCAGTGACGACGTCCATGTGGCCGCGAATACACTCGAGCTGCCCAAGGCTGCATGTTTGTACTTTTGGACGGCGGTTGTGTGGGTGAGCGTCCTGGCGGGAGCAGTCATGTGCCTGTCGTTCGTGTATGCCGCCATGGACAAGTTTCAAATCGAGGGCCGCAACCTGTTCCAGTTCAATCGAGTGGTTGGGAGCGTCTGGATCGGCCGTCCGCTTCTCTTTGTGCGGGGGATCACGGCCATCATAATCGTCAGTACGGCCCCGGCCACGATCGTCCACGACCGCGTCACATCCTTTGTGCGCTATCATCGACCGTGGACGTCCCAGTTGCTCTTGTACAGCGAGTCGCTCTGGACTGTCTACGTCATGAATGACATCGTGTTGCCCATCACGACCCACCTGCAACTCGCCAAGGAAGTCGCGCCACTGAGCAGTGTCCTGGCGTTTGTGGGCACCATGAGTCTGGACATCCTGGCGCCGTATGAAGTGCAGGCAACGACCATGCTAGACTGCACGTACACGTCATTTCGTCGAGGGGTGTCATGTTCGAATGGCGAGATCAAATTGGGAAGTGGCGAACGGGTCGCGCACATTCTCGGTCTTCAACTCGCGTCTCTGATCGTGGCGCAGCTCGTCGTGGTCGGGTATTCGTGGCGGTACCCAAGTCGTCGCCCCCCGCGAACGGGGACTCTCAACCACGTACTCATTCCCGCAGCGACGGAAGCGTACTTTGTGCGGTCGGCAGGGTCGTCGGCGTCGTCGAGGCATCTGGACGCCGTCGCATGCGTGATGTCAGGGATGCTGCCATGGCAACAGAATTTGTTTGACTTTAAGATCTGGGCCACCGTTGAAAGGCACAATCAACACCGGCGCATGTCGTTCCTGGATGCCAAGTTCAAGCACCTGACGGCGGCCATGACGGAGCCACCCAAGTTTGGCCCGATGCACTCGTGGCTAGGGGGTGTCGGGCTCTTATACATGGTCACGTCGATCTCGGGGTCGTACGCATTTCTCCAGTTGACGCAGGCCGCGATGGCCAACGATATCTGGTGGGCGTTGTTCGACACAAACACACAAGTGCACTTGAGCAACTGGTTCAACCAGAATTTGCAACTTCGCAGCGTCGCCAGCAACGTGAATCTCACAGCACTTGGGCATGGAGCGCTCGCATTGACGACCAATACGTCGGCCACCGCCCTCCAAGTCGCCCCGTTGTATGCAAGCTCCGTCCAAGACGAAGTGAACTCGCTCGCTAACGTCATCCAGAGTCTGCGTCAACTGGAAACGTGCTCCATCCCGTGGGTCATGACTGCGTATTGCTATGTGGACTTTTCCAGGCGATGGGAGATGGCTGGCACGGCAGCGCAGCAGCGACGATGTGCCCGTGACCTGGGCAATGCGGCAGTGTACTTGGAATCGGCCCTTCGCAACACGGACTGGACCGAATTCGGTCGTTGTTGGGGCCATGCGTTCGACGTGGGGGTGTTTCAGCACTTGCAGTCGTCTCGGGATGGGCTCGCGTGGCTGTCAGAGACGCAACATGCCATGGCCACCACGTCCGTGCCAAGTGAAGTCGCAGTGTGGGCAAACGCAAACATGTCGAGCTACGGGACGCAGTGGCAGAATTACAAGAGTTTAGGTGTCGTCGAGACGTTTTCGATTCAAAACGCGTTTGGGTGGCAATATCCATTGACGCTCAAGTACTCGAACGGGTCGATGCAGCTCTTAGTACAGACGACGCTCAAGATGCAGCGGCCGCTAGCCCACGACTTGCTGGCAATCATGTCCAACTCGAGCCGAGTGTGTGGTCAGAGCCTCGTTCGGAGCAGCTCCGCGTTCGCCTACTTGAACGCGACTGTCGAAGACGCGCTCGTGGACGCAAGGCTCCTTGTGCCTCCACTGGGCGTGGGGTTTTCCCTGACGCGACAATTCCTCGGTCCATTTGGCTCGATCACCATGAAGCGCGTCGCGTGCCCGTTGCCCTTACGGGAACTGTACCAAAGCATCACGTTTGCCCTCACCGAGTTGCTCGCGTCCGACCAGGAAGCGCAGCACACCATGTGGCCCATCTACTCGTCGTTCACGGTGTCCCCTCGACCGAAAATGTGGAACTCGGTGGGTCTTGGCGGCGGAAACGTCCTGTGTGAATTCAACCCGGCCGAAACCACGACCAAGATCCCTGGTATCGCGTTCAGTTCAGCGGGCTCGTGCGGCCTGAATTTGCAAGAGTTTATCATCGGCGACACAAAGGTCCTTCTCGAAGCGCTTATCGCGGCGGGCAACGTCAGCGTCCCCGCCGTCGCTCAGCTCGAGATCCGCAACCCTACCAGCACACTTGCCGTGCTCCACGACTCGGTCGACCTCTTGTCGACGCACCTGGATCGAGGCACGGCCAACACACTGCACGCACGAGCCCAAACCGTAAAACACGTCGTTCGAGACGACGTTCGGCTCGCGATGGTCCAATTCATCCGTCGAGGGTCGAATGGACCATACAGTCTGAGCCACATGGTGCTTTTCAACGAGTCCGACGTCGATTTTGACGTGTACGCGTGGCTCTATGTGTTCAACTGGGTGCAAGGCGTGCGTGAGGTCGTGTCGTTTGAGGGCGACATGGACAACTTGACCCTCTTGTCGAGTGCGACAAACCTCTTGGACCTCGCTGTGAATCCCATGGAAGTGCCGTCGAATGTGGCGTACTACATCCGGTACTTGGTCCAGTACATCACGTTAGTCATGTTGTGTGTGGCGGCGGTCGTGTGCCTTTGCATCGTCGCGTTGCGAGGGCGCGTGGAAGCCGTCAACATGATCGTATTCAGTCGCCTTGCGGGCCTCGTGTGGATCGGACGGTCGTTCCTGTTTGTGCGCGCGCTCAGCGCGATCTGCCTCTTGTCCACGTCGACGCTGGTGCTGAAAAGACCGCTGGATGGACTCGTGTCGTACTTTGAGTCGACGCACCAGCCATGGTACATGGTCGTTCTCGCCGCCGGAGAGCTCAACTGGATGGTGTACATCATAAACGATGTCTTCTCGGTTGTGACGAAGCAGTACACGGCCAGTTATGCTCGATCGAGCTTCTTTGTCACGTGGATCGCGTCGGCAGTATGGGTGTTTGTTGCGCCACCGACTTTGTCCGTGACACTCGCGAGGAACTGCACGGCCGTGGCAATCGACTTGCAGGTCGTGTGCAGTAGTGGAATCGTGGAAATTGGTAGCGTCCGGCACTTTTATAGCCTCCTTGCATTGGTGGTCGCGTGCTGTGCTTTATGCTACGCCGCCGAGCGTGTGTGGCGGGCGAGGACGAAAACGGCACCACCTGCTCCATCCCAAGGATCGTTGCTGTTGTACGCGGCAGCAAAGCACCACTTTCGCACGGACAAGTGGGATTACATGGGCACGCAATACATCGACAAGGCGTCCGCGGTCCTCACGGGCATTTTGTCTGTCGAAGGGCATGGCGCGTTGTATATCTTCGACATCAAGACGTGGCGCGTGTACGTGATATCAATCCACGATATGAATGACCAAGCCACGGAAGCTCCGCTGCATCTTCGGCATGCGCTTCCCCTCGTCGAGTGACTTTTCATCGTTGCGAGAACGACGAATTTACTTGCATCGGACGCAGTTCTACGTTTTTCAACACCCAACGCATATAAATTTGGCCCACACTCCCCTCCAAGTGGGTTCTTGCTCCATGCTTCATTCCGTCAAAATCACCGAGTTCGCCGAGCGCCGCCAGACAAGGTAAACTGGCTGGGTCTCGCCCTCCACTCGGGGTTTGTTGCACGAGGACAAACGAGTCCGCGATATGCATGGACTTGGTTCGAAGAGGTTGTAAACGTACAAAGAGTACTCTCTGGCGTTTGAGTTCCTGTTGAGAGACTGCAGGACGATTCTTGGGCACGCAGGGCAACCGACAGCCCAACGCCCGCTTGATAACGACGATGATCGGCTGGAAGTGCGCGACCAGGTTCATTGTTATCAATCTGCCAAGAAATCGTTGTGCCCGTGGCCGTGCTCCCGACGGCGTCGTTCTTCCAAACGACCCTTGGAGCAAATGGTCACGTGAGCCTCGTGCTCGTCGAGCCTACACATGTGGGAATCGTTCAGCGAGACTGAATTTGCCTCTTGTGCCGCTTTTGTTTGTGTTGTAAAACTTTAACTCACGGTCCAGAAGGACAGACCCCACCAAGGTCGCAAGTTGGTCAAGTGCAGTCAATCGTTGAATTCGTGAAAGTTCTTTGAAAGGGAGTTGAATGCCACGTTCGCAGCCCCGTTGGACGTCGCCCAGTTGCTGACCGAAGTAAGTTTCAAACGTGCAAGCTTTTGCTCACTTTTCATGTTGCTTTAGTTTCGTAGTATCTCGAACCCCGGCATGTCGATGGCGGTTGTGATAAATTCTCCAGCGGCAGCAAGCAATTGAATCATGTACCTCATTCTTGTAGAAGTCCAGAAGTCGAACTTGGCTAAGTGCATGGAAGCGGTCGATACCCCTGCAGCGCTGACCCATCGAAATGACCCCCTGCGGCTTTTCGTTGATCGCAGTTGCTAATGCCTTCTGGATCATGTCTTGTCCCTGTAGGCTTCGGTATTGCTTGCGACAAGGTGTTATGGTCTACGGTTTCGTGCATGAAGTTCTCCGTGTCTTCGTCATGCTTGTGCATGTTGCCAGTGGCCTCTCCAGGCTTGTGTGAAGCTCATGCTCTTGTCGGCGCGGCTGGAGCGATAATCGTCCTGGGGACCCGTCGTCGCTCCATTGCCGTTGGCGGTCGGATTTTTCTATTGGAACGTCGGAGAAGACGCCACGAATGCTGGTACAGATATGCACGCCAATCAGATCGCTGAATTTGAATGAAACGGACTCGGATTGGCTAGTTGACACTCACCCTCGTCGAATTTCGACAGGCGACCATCATTCTCGAGGGCATATTTCGCCCACATCCGGACGTAAAACGCACTTTCGAGAACACCCTATTTATCCGGAGGTTCGAATACGTAGCACAAATTGATTTGACGTGTGGAAGACAAATGAGCTTCTCTCAAGGACAAGACTGGAGCGTGGCTGGATGGGACAAAGGCCGGAGTGGCGGCCGCATCGGCAACGAGTCGAAGGAAGCAGCCCTCAACCGTGCGCGTCGCTCTGGTAACGTTGTCACCGAGCTCAAGCACGGTGGCGTCGCCAATAAATCTGCACACGTTGCCACTGGCAACATGCGCAAGCTGGACGAAGACACGGAGAACTTCAAGCACGAAACTGTAGACCGCAGCTTGTCGCAAGCACTGCAGAAGGCTCGCATGGACAAAGGCATGACCCAGAAGGCGTTGGCGACTGCGATCAACGAAAAGCCGCAAGTGATTGGTGACTACGAATCTGGTCGTGCGATCCCGAACGGTCAAATCATCGTCAAGATCGAGCGGGCGTTAGGTTGCCGGCTGCCCCGCGCTCCCAAGAAGCGTCCAACGGCGTCAGAATAATCTGAATAATTATCGACATAGATTTTCAATGTGTGGAGGATGAAACCGCCACCAACGTTTCGTCCGGCACGCGACTTCCACGCTAATGCGATTCCTGCATGGTGCAGTCGTGGTGGCGCTGTCCATGGCTGGTATCGCCATGGACTGTCCCAGTTGCTTGTACCAGTCGGTCTCGTGTGGCAATCCAGCCTCCACCCAGCCAGTGTGCGACGACGTCGGGCTCATTCAGTCCGACGACGTCCTTTGCGACGGCATTGACTGTGTTTGCTCGGACGGATTTGTGTGCGCGTCGTTGCGTCTAGGGTGCCCAGGGGTTGTGCATGGGGGAAGTCGAGCGCGATGCCTGTCGCTAACTGGGCTGCAATCACGGTACGAAGCTTACCGCGCCATCGTCATGCCACCTGGCCCAGACACCTATCCCGCAACTAACCTTTCGTGGGTTCACTTCCACGACGACAACGACGACTGTGCGCTATCAGACGACTGCACCGCCATGCGCCAATTGCACGCATGCAGCGCGGTGCTGTGTGGCAGCGCAGTCATTGCATGGATGGAATTGCATGGCGATGAGCACGAGTATCGGGTGGTGGTCGAAGGCACGCTGGCCGACCGATCGGCTGGAATCTTTGCCGTGGCGGCACGATGGAATCCAAACATGAGACGACTGAGCTGCGATAGCATCACGGCAACCCCCATCGGCAAGCGGTAACCACTCATGGCTATGCCGCGCTCCAAACTCTGCTTCGTCACTCAACAAACGCTCGCTGCACTAGGTACACACGGCAGACCCGCGCCAATCCTGAAGAGTGCGGTGGTCGGTACTTGGACTTTTCGCCCCCAGTGGCATTCACAAGTGTTCTGCTGGACTCGGCGCGCCGCACGAGTTTGTATATCTGGCTCATCGTGTTCAGCACATTGGGCGTAGCAATTGCCGCCGTTGTTGGCGTTGTGTACGCTTGGAAATCATCGGGGCGACACCTCCAAGCGCCAACAATTATTCCGGCGCCCATGTCTGCCATCGTCACCGCAAAGCATTCGGCACTGCTTTGAATAGCAAAACATGTATATTTACAGAGTCGTGTGGACTGTGTCGAGTGTTACAGGTTCGCTGTCTTTCTTCCACACCATGAGTCTCTTCTGTACAACTCTCAGCAACACCTACAGTTGACTACGTTGGCGGGAAGCTCGGGAAGGTGGGGGCGCGATGGTACCTCGACGCGAGGACACTGGAGGTCGGCGGGAGTGAGCTGGGCAAGAATGCTCTTGAGCACGATGGGGGTCAGGATCGAATGGTCCTCGATAAGGATGCGAAAAAGCGAGAGCACACGCATCTCGGAACGGGTCATGTCGCCGGGGGTATCTTCGGCAGCCCGCAGCATCGCCCCAAACAAACTGACCAACTGCGGGATGTCCATAAACAAGTCAAAGCCCCCGACAAGCAACGACGTACTTTGCACATCTCAAGAAGTCGCCACTTTTCGTGGCGGAGGTGGCTCAAGGTCGCGTGTTTGTCCATGCGAAAGGAAGGCATGGTGGTGTCGTTGAGGCATGCAACGGTCAGCTTCTTCACATGCATGTCTTCTTGTTCGGCCCAGTGCATCGCTACAATGATCGACCGACCGGTCGTTCAGTGTCGATCAAGGCAATTCGAGTACCTAATGTGGCGACCAGCGTTTCGGTCAGGTGCTTTTGGTGCTCATTGAATGCGGTGGAGATGTCTCGAAGGCGATTCTTCTTCAACCCCATGCGGATTTTCAACCTGTTCCACCATACACTCAGTGGACAATGCCATTGCCTGCGCAAGATGCTGGACCTCTTATTCATGTTGAGCAGCAGCGCATCTTCGACGGACATCACTTTGTTGTTGGACCGGCCCCTGCTGCCATGGGAGAAGTGGACTTCACGTTTGTGTGTGGTGTGGAAGTGCGCTACGCACCTGAATGCTCGATCGAGCTCCAGGTCACTCATGTTGTGTTCGGTCTTGCACATGCGTTGTCCATCGTCCGTGACTGTATAGCAGATGCCACGGGGCGTCGTCACTGCCGCAGCCGCGCGACTGGTGGCCGGACGCGTGGGCAAAGCGGTCGTCTCGGGCATGGACGGTCGAGATGGCTTTACCGGGCGCGAAGTGTGCGGTCGTCGGAGAGGAGACGTCGGTAGCTTGGACACGGTCGGCTTGGGTACGTCTGCAACGTTCCTGTCGTCGAAGAACTGAAGCGCCGGCACGGCTGTGACGAAGTTCTTGCTAATGATGTCGAAGACGTTCTCCGACATGGTGGACATTTTGCTGTGTCGCATCACGAGGTTGGACGTGACGTTGTCTTTCAGCGCTTTATCGCGGCGCTGCTTTCGCTGGAGCCACAGGTGGGCCACTACGATGCATTGGTGACATGTGAAGCACCGAAGAGCGCCTTCCCCACCTGCGCGAAATGCGGTGAGCACCTTTTCGCTCATGTCAAGGGGGTTTCCGTGCTTTTGCCTGTGGAGCATCGCCGCTGCTTGAACGTCGCGGTAGCTCTTGCCGTCCTTTTTGCCCAATTTGTCAGACCGTTGGGTGGCTGTACGCTTGATCTTGAGTCCGCTGCGCCGTTTGTGGGCCCGAAATTTTGTGATGTTGGTCAACTTGACAGCAAGCTTCGGTGCAAGGCAAGTTATGAGAAGGAGGAATAACTACACAATCTCCCAGTACCCCAAAAACTGCGCGGGACGTGTTGCGAGGGTTGGGAGATCGAATGATGGGGAAGTCGGGTGTAGCGTCGTAGACATCCTTGGCTTTCTTGTCAAGGTAGCATCCGAGCGCCGCGATGGTGGCGTTGTTGCTCGTTTGAGATTCGGTCGTGCTGACTGTTGTGGTGTCGCTCGTGACCTTCTTTGCGTTCATTCTGGATGATGAGGTTAACTGATGTTGTTGATGTGAAAGACGATTTCCACCTTGCTCGAAGCACTCGGTTGTTGGAGAGGCGAACGTGATCTTGAATGACATCAAAACCATTCTTCGCTTGGCAGTTCCTTCCTCCTGGTTTTGTCGATCCGACGTGCATGATGGCAGCAGCTGCAAGTCACACGGAATGTGCCGTTTTGAAACGGTGTAGAAAGGGGTGAGATGATGAACCACGTGCACTTGTACTCAACTTAGCGGGCATGTCTGTACGTGCGCCACTTAAGGAGAAGTTGTTCATCACGCATGTGCGAGAGGTGGAGAGCGGGAAAGCTGGTGGGCCCGGCGGCCTCCCGGCAAGTGTGGATGGGTTTTGATGTGGACAACTGATCACGGTGAGATTTTGAAGTTAATCCGGAAAAATTCATGCGCGTTCGGATAACCTCGAAAGTGCGCGAAGTAGCAATGAACGCTACCCAGGCGGATGGACGGCCGCGAGAGGAAGGACACGACAACGACGGGTCGGACAGCGATCTCACTGTGATGGGTAGTTCCATGTCGTCCAGCGGGTGGGAATCTCCATGCTTGATGGAAAGAACAGAGGTGACGGTGACATCACCACGTCCCAAAGCCACTACGATCCAATTCGACGAGAACGAAGGACCGCTCATACTGAGTCAGCCTTCCCCGATACCCAATTGGTGCCAGGACTCTCCTGAGCGACGAGGTACGCATAAGCATGTCGAGGGAACCTAGAACATAGTCACCCTCGTGAATTAGAGGCAGATCGTGAAGTCAAACAAGACGACTCCGACGACCACAACTTGACTCGTGATTGCAATCTTCCAAACATTCAAAACTACTCTAAACCTCTACCTTGTTTGCGTGAAAGTCCAATTTGCGATCAATTCGACAGTCCTCATCAAGCGAATGCCTCATGCAACGGCAGCATCACGTATATGGTCAAAGAGGATCCGCGTCTAACATCTGCGACCAACTCGACCTTACCAAAAAGATTGAAGCATCTTCGTTCAGCAGCGGTCGGCGAAGAGGGCATGAGTGTTCCCCTGGAGTTGTCCCCAGCGTCGCAATTGTGTGTGCTTTCTCAGATCGGTGACCTCGGTGCATCGTCAACATCATGGAACGCTCCATCACAACCCAATCCACGTTCTGTCATTCCCGTTCGCACAGATCCAGAGTTTCAGCAGAAGGAGCCCCGACGATCCCAAAACTCCTATGGAAAGCGACTCATATCCCAGGCAATTAGTTGGGACACTTGCAGCGGTATTGCATGACCGCCCTGTCCAACACCCCCATCTCCATCTCTCTTGATTCGATGGATAGAAGAAGCGTTCAATGGCGACACGAGTGACGGGGGCAATTGGACGTTTGAGGAACTATCAGACAGCGACTTTGACTGAATTGAACCCTATCACATTCTTCAAAGGCTATCCACTCGAAATGAGGTGGCAATTCACGTCATTCTCAAAGGCGCATGCAGTCAAGGTAAGGTCTGAGGCAAACCTGATAGGGAGATGTCGGCTGCGCTTCGACGGCTGGAGAATTGAGGGGTCGTAACCGGCAAAGTCCATGGTATGAATCGGTTACCCGAGCGCATCCAAAAGAACCATTCGTGAACCGACACATTCGTCAAGATGACCAAGACAGAACGTATCAACCTTTCTACCTCGCGTCAGCGAGAATTGCCGCAATATGGGACGGCCACTCCTTTCGAGGATATCCCGCCTAAAATCGTTTCTCGCAATATCCTGTCCAAAACTGCAATCGTGGGTGGATCACTTTTGGTCGTCGGGTGCTTGGCTGCAGTCAGTCGATCCTTGCCACCCTCAACTCCCGCACAATCGGCAACGGTGAGCCCACGTCTTCCAGCTGATCCATTTGCTTCCTTCCACGAAGAAAGCCGGTCGTATCTTGATAAGTCGGTCGACCCGTGCCAAAACTTTTATCAGTACGCGTGCGGGGGATGGCTCAAGACGGCAACCATCCCGGACGACGCCACCAGTATTGACACGTCATTTTCAATCGTGTCTGCGGCGAATGCTGAGATCATCAACGACATCATGACCAACCGACCCCCCTTGATCGATCCGCTGTACCAGTCGTGTTTGATTGGTGAAGACGTTGACCCCAACGCGATTCACGCGATTTCGCTCAAGCTCGAACATTTGGCGAATCTGAAGAGCGTCGACGACGTCCTGGAGTACGCAGGGCAACTTTACGCGCTCACTGACACAAAATCGTTCTTCGATGTCAGCGTCGAAGCGGATGCCAAGAATGCATCGAGCAACATCTTAACCATCGGCCAAGGAGGCCTCACGTTCCCAGCAAAAGAGTATTACACGGACAAGCACAAGAGCACCAAGTACTTTTCCCTTTTCGTCACGTACGCGCAAACCTTGGGCCACATCAAAGCATTCCCGAACCACAACGTGTCGCAGTTTGCCCATCGAATTCTAAACCTCGAAGAGTCGTTCGCGAATGTATCCGAGTCGAGGGCCGAGCAACGAGATCCATGGGCGCACTACAATCCCGTACTTGTAGCCGACCTTCCGGTCAAGTACCCTCACGTAACCAAGTACTTGCAAGGGGCAGGAATTTTCAACCGGCTCGTTGAAACGAATGCATCGGTTGTGGTGGAATCGCCAACCTTCCTCCACAACCAAAAGCAGCTCCTCGACGCAATCCCCGACCTGCAGATTGTCAAAAGCTACGTGAGTTTCCACCTCATCGATGCACAAAGTCAAGTGCTAGGCGACACGTTCCGTCAAGCCAACCATGAGTTCCACGGCGCGCTGCGAGGCATCGTTCGCAAGCAAGAGCGCAAAGATTTTTGCTTTTCCCTGACGCAGTCGCTGCTTGGGGACGTCGTTGGCAAGTACTATCTAAAGCGTGTGTGGGACTCCCAAACGAAGAACGCCGCAAAGACATTGATCCAGGAGATTGAATCGTCCATGGACTCTGTGTTACAGAACGAAGTATGGCTGGACATCGCCACGCGAGAGAAAGCATTGGAGAAGCTCCACCACGTGTTCAATTTGGTTGGTGGTCCGGACGACATCCCAGAGCTTTCATTCAACATATCCGCGACCGACTTTTGGTCGAACGTGATGCATTTCAAAGGATTGAAGTTTCAATCGAAGGTCGAGAGCATTGGCAGTGCTGTCGACCACAAGGGATGGGGTATGACCGCTTCGACCGTCAATGCGTACTACGAGCCCACTGAGAACAAGATGGTGTTTCCAGCTGCGATCATGCAGCAACCGTTCTACAGTGCCCGGCATTTGCCAGATGTGGCCAACTACGCTCGAATTGGAATGATCATGGGCCATGAGCTCACGCATGGCTTCGACGACGAAGGACGGAACTTTGACAGCGACGGCAACATGCACGTTTGGTGGAGTGCGAACGTCAGTCGCACGTACGATGAGAAGACCAAGTGCCTTGCAGACCAGTACTCGTCCTTTGACGTGCTCACCCTCGATCGAACGAAACGGATCGGTCATGTCGATGGTCGCCTGACGTTGGGTGAAAACATCGCGGACAACGGTGGTCTCAAACTTGCATACCTGGCGTACTTGCATTCGAAAAGAAATGTCACGCCTGTTCCCACACCCGAGCAAAGGCAAGCCGACGCGAAAGCGTACTTTTTGGCGTTCGCCCAGGGCTGGTGCGGCAAGTACACGGACTCGTACGCCGAGCTCTTGCTCACGTCGGACCCGCATTCCCCCAACAAGTGGCGTGTCAACGGCCCGATCATGAATTCACAGGCGTTTGCCGATGCGTATCAGTGCCCTGTCGGAAGCTCAATGAACCCCTCGAAGAAGTGCGTTGTGTGGTAAAATTGAGCATTCCTGGAGTGCCACGTAATAGACTTGATATTTGTATAATCTCAACGAACCCTAATGAACGATCCCATCCGGTGATCCACCCAATCCCCGAAGACTTAGTCACATGGGGCGCCGTTATCCGGAGGAATACACCACCACGTCATTAAAATGTTTCGTCAGGCGGTGTGCCGCCAGCTTCTGAAACACCCGCTACGAAGTTGCTCCGCGACGTGGTCAACAGGTCCCCGTCTTTTCCGAGCGCCTCAAGTCCTCCCTACAGACATTCGAACCCAGCATCGCACAATGAAAGTGTACACCAAGACTGGTGACAAGGGCACGTCCCAACTCTTTTCTGGCGAACGTCGCCGAAAGGACGACGCCGTGTTCATGGCGCTCGGCGACACGGACGAACTGAACGCCCAGATTGGTGTTGCATTAACACAATTTGAACTGCTCGGCATTGAGACAACCCTGCATCCAGGCGTGGAGTTTCAATCGCGCCTGGAGGAGATTCAGTCGAGACTGTTCGACGTTGGCGCAAGCGTTGCGACACCTTTGAGCTCCGCTGGCCAAAGTAAGATTCGCCGCGCTGAATTCGAACCGTCGAATGTGACTGTCTTGGAAACCTGGATCGACGAAATGGATGAACATTTGGAGCCTTTGCGCAATTTCATTCTGCCCAGCGGTGGTGGCCTGGCGTCTTGTCAACTCCATGTCGCTCGTGCCGTGTGCCGCCGTGCCGAGCGCCGCGTGGTGTCCATCGGAGGCGACGACGTTGATCCAGTTGTCATTCAATATTTGAATCGATTGAGCGACTTTCTGTTCGTTGCCGCCCGGTTCGTCGCGTTCTTGGAAGGCAAATCCGAGACCATTTGGAAGAAGCAAGTAAAACCAACGTCGTAAACTAACTACTGTTCTTGTGTACACGGAATGATCGCAGCACCACGAGTTCTAGAGGCTTTGACTCGTCGCTACACCAATTTCAAGGAGAGGTGGCTGCTGTCGAGACGTGCCTATCGACGACGTCGTCGTGGTCGCTACGAGTGCTGAGGCTAGTACTAGAGAGTTGGAGTTGAATGCATACAAAATCGGAGCTGCGGCTTCTTCGCTGCCGCCACTCCCATTGTTTCACTTTGCCAGTTACGACCGACATCAAGGTGGTGCAGTCAATGGCGTGTTCAAGCTGCGGCCGACAAGGTTCCCGATTGGGACGTTGTAGCAATGCCCACGACGTGCCAGGAATCATTTACCCGTGTCTTGGACCCATTTGAAGTTTACATACCACCGCAGCTGCCGCTTGGATGCCGAGGCGGTTGGTGGCGGCACCCGTCGACGGCAGAGTGTCCGAAAGACGGACAAGAAGTCTATCTGACGACGGCCTCTATCGCACACGAACTAACCCTTCGAGCATCACGCGTCAGCTGCGTTGTGCGGAACAAGCGACCACACGTAACGTGATGTTGTCGTTGAAGAGTTTCTGATTGAACGTCGCCTTGTCCATGTCGCCGCCGTTCTTACAAACGAAAACGATGCATCGTTGGCTGCACGATTTTCACTAGTACTGAGCTCAGGGTGTGTATCGAAGGGGCAGTGGCCAGCCATCCCGGTCCACCTGATCTTGGTCTTGAAGAGTTCGAGATTGCCGTCCGGTGTTACCCTGGTTCAACTTCAACTTCAGCCGTTGTCATGCTACTCTACCCAAGGGCGCGATGCCGACGGGTTGTGGCTTGGTGCTGCGGCGAAGATGTCGCGTTTGCCTTCGCCCAAGCGATCGTACGAATGCGCCGTAGCCGTCGCCATCTCTCGTCGGCGTTGCCATGCTGGTGCCGCCTCCTTTCGACCGGGTCAAAATATGGCTCGTCATGTTATCCATATGTACGCGTGACTGTCTGATTTCAAGTCGAAGATCGCCACGTCGATCAAATTCGAATTTGTGGGATGCTGCGCAAGAAGACAGCAGACGTGGTTGTCGTGGGCGCTGGCGTCGCCGGATGCTCTGCATACTTTGGCCTGGCCAAGCGCAATCGCGCGGCGAACGGTGCCGCGCCGTCGACGTTCAAGCCGCTTCTCTTGGATGCGATTGGGCCCATGTCTCTGACGAGTGCTCGCGGCACGTACCAATACCGCAACTGGTGGCCGGAAGATGGCGACGAAGCCATGATGCGGCTCGTGTCGCGGTCCATTGACATCATGGACGATGTCGCGTCCGAGATCGACTTGAATCGTAATGGATACCTTTTTGTCACGCGCGACACGAAGCGCATCGACGAGTTCAAGAAGCAAGCGCTGCGCAATGCACAACTCGGCGGCGGCGACTTTCGTGAGCACCACGACTTGACCAACTACAACCCGTCGACCAAGGCAGAAGACAGAATGGACGGCTGCGATTTGATCTGGGGCCAAGACAACATTTCCAAAGTGTTTCCGACTCTGAAAGGCGCTGACGCCCTCGCGGCGCTCCACGTGCGTCGCGCGGGTTCCTTGAACCCTAAAAAGCTGGTGCGGATGCTGCATACACGTCTTCCAACACGTCGCTCAATCGGTGCATAGGCTGCGTATCAAATGTCGCAAGTCAAGGCATTCTGTCCAAACGCTGAAACCCAACGAGGGAAAATGATCGACATCCACTCGTCGGGCGGCCGCATTACTGGCATCACGGTCGGGCTCCCGAACGGCGACAAGGAGACAGTCGACACGCCGTCGCTTGTGCTGGCCCCTGGACCAATGCTTCAAGAAACCCTGCGGATCCTGCGGGAGAAAGAATTGTTTGACACTCCTGAGCTCAAAGTGCACCACGAGCTGCATGCTCGCGTGATTTTCGACGACCCCATGCAAATCGCAACGTCGTCGTTGCCCTTGACATTCAACGCCGACCCCTTCGACCGCCTCCCGGTATGACCGAGTCCAGACAAGCCCACTCGTGTGGCGCTGCGTGGAAAACGGACGATGATATTGATCCGACATGGATTAGTTTTCCAAGGAAGAGCTGGAAGCGAATCCGTCGGATCCGCTCCACAACGAATCGTTCCCAGGAGGTAACATGCCACGACCGGAAATGTCGCCTCAAAACGTCGTGCTTGCATGGCGTAGGCGTGCACGTCCGCCCGTACCTCGATGGCAAATCGATGGGTGTGTGGACTTACGACGTGAACTTTGTCGAGCCAGTCTTTCCCCTGACCAAAGTGATCGATCCCAGGTCACGACCCCTTCCATCGAGTCGGCGGACGTTGGGCTGACGTGCCATGCTCTTAGATACGGCGAGATTTGTCTGCGGGGGCTGTCGCGCTTGTTTCCCCAGATTACGTCGTACGTGACGGACCCGCACATCATGGCGACTCTCGACGTAAGGCAGTCAGCATGTCCTTCGCCGTCATGTTGACACCGATCGTTTTCCCCAGGTCGACGGCGGGTATTACTGCAAAACCCCCGACAACATTCCGATCATTGGCAACACGAAGAACGGCGTGGACGGCCTCTTCTTCCAAGCAGCCATGACTGGCGTCGGCCTCATGTATATATACACACGACAGGAAATGTTACGGTAGCCTCAACCGATTTGTTTGTAGGTCGAGTGCGGCGGCAGGGGAAGTCTTGGCCGGAGCCGTCATGGGCGACTTCGCCCCTGGGAAACCAGTGGACCCGGCGCTTCCATACGCCTCGTATGCGGCTGCGTTGTCGCCGAACCGATTCGACGATCCTGCGTACGTTGCGTCGTTGTCTGGAGATCGCCAAACGAGCGGTCAAATGTAGTGCATCGTCAGATTACTTGGAGAATACACACTGGATAGCAAAACTCGTGGAATGCTCTCTGCGCCGCGATTGTTTGCTTGGATGTCTCGTGGTGGGAGTCGGGGCGGCTTCGTGGTGGGAGACGGAACGTCGTCGTGATCCATGCAGCAGCCGCAGTTTGATGTCATCGAACGATTGTGTGTCTGTGTTGATTGTTTGGCACTTGTCTTTAGCGCTGAATGAGGCTGTTGACTCGCTGTGGCGCCGACAACAGCTCTGCACCCTCTGGCATTCCTCGGCTCCTGTAGCTCAGAGCGTTCTTGCGACTGGAATGGCTTGGCATGACTTTTCTTTTCGTGATGCAACAATTGCCACCGGAGCGCTACAGTAGTAGTACACGAACGTGATGAGGTGTACGATACTTGTACACATTGCAACGTTCGAAAGACCTACACTCACATTTAGTGCTGGGGGATATTCTGAATATCATCGAAAACGTCCTCTTTTCGGCCAATAAAAGCTAAATGAAGCAATTCTCTTTTATTTATAGATTTTTTGGAAGTACTGATGGGCGAGAGTGTTGGTCGCGGTCAACCTCAACACACGGCACCACACATTCGATTCAAGTGCCGCTCTCACATGTCGTCGACCTGCCCTGTGATCGATATCGGCGTGAACGTCCTCAACAGACAGTTCCAGAAGGACCTCCCGCGAGTTCTCAAGCGCAGCGCCGAAGAGAATGTGCACACGATCATTGCCACGGGGACCGACATGAAGGTGAGTGAGCGGTCGATTGCGTTGATCCGCAAACGACGAAACATCCCGTTGCCTCGGCTTTTTTGCACTGTCGGGATACATCCGCACTCAGCAAAAGATGCTGTTCCAGATTTTGCAAAGCGACAGACGGACCTCATCGAAACAAATCGCGATGTCGTCGTGGCGGTCGGTGAATGTGGATTGGACTTCAATCGGGACTTCTCTCCCCGCACCGTGCAAATCGAAGTGTTTCGCCAACAAGTTCAAGTCGCATGCGACCTCCACTTGCCCCTCTTTTGCCACGAACGTGAAGCCCACACCGAATTTCTCGACGTTCTCGTCCCGTTTCTTGAAACGGGGAAATTGCAAGCCTCACAGGTCGTTGTCCACTGCTTTACTGGAAATGCTGCTGAGCTCAAACGATACGTTGGACTGGGGTTCTCTATCGGGCTCACCGGCTTCGTGTGCATGTCTCGACGCGGCTTTGAATTGCGTCAGGTGATATCCATGATCCCCTTGAGCCAGCTCATGGTCGAGACGGACGCCCCGTTCATGCACCCCAGCCAAGCAAAGCAGCGATGCGAGCCTCATCACATCCACGCTGTAGTTCAAACAATTGCTGAATGCATGGGTTGCCCCGCTACCGACGTCGCTGCAGCCACCACTGCCAATGCCACGCGATTCTTCAAACTCGATGAGGCCGTGTTTCGCCGTGCTCACTCCGCTCCACGTCTATCCACAGCGCAGTCGTACCCCCCCGCACCCCCACAGATTCGTCTTGCCCCGTCTAACGGAAGCTATATTTCTGTGGACGGTTCGACGCTGGAAGGGGGCGGCCAAATCCTTCGGCTGGCGTTCCCGCTCGCTGCGTTGCTTGGCAAAGACATTCAAGTCCACAGCATCCGTGCCGGCAGACCGAGGCCAGGCCTTGCCAATCAGCACTTGTGCGGTCTCAATTTGATCGACTCGTTGAGTTGGTTGTGGAATCTCTCCGGCCACGAGTTGCAATCGACAAGGGTGTCCCTGGCGCATTCTGAGGCAGGCGGCGCCATCGTATTCAAAGGATCGAAATTCCACGCGGCCATGGATACAGCGGGAGCTGTGACCTTGGTGCTCCAAGGGGTGCTCCCTCTGTTCGTCTTGTCAGATCAGCCAAACCCCATCGAGTTGACCCTGGTCGGCGGCACCCATGGGAAATTTGCACCCACCGCAGACTGGTTCGAACTGGCCTTTGCGCCCCTCTTGCAGCGCATGGGAGTTTACTTTGACATGAGAGTGAATCGCTGTGGGTTCGTTCCGCGCGGGGGAGGCCACGTCACCGTGATCTGCCCAGGCGGGGCTTCGTTGCCGCTGCGCCCGCTGTTGCTGGACACCCCGTCCCGACTAGTGCAGCATCTCGTGTGCCGTATCATTTGCGCCACCGATACCGATGGCCGTGCCACATGCGCAGCCCTTCGCAAGCAATTTCGATTTGCGTTTGGTGTTGGAACCAACGTCGACTGGACGGAAGAAGTCGTTGTGGACGGGGGACTCCAGACCAAAAATGGCTCGAGTGGGCCATACGTGCACGTCACGCTCTTCCTGGGCAACGGCAACATCCTGACGGCAGGAGGACACCCGTCCAAGTCTGTGGACGCGGCCGTGGCCGACATCGTCGCCGAACTGGATCGCGTGTGGGACGGTGATGCGTGCGTGGACGAACACCTGGCTGACAACATCCTTGTGTACATGGCAATGGCGCAAGGAACGTCGCGGCTGCGCATTCCCCTGGAAACTACGAGTCAGCATGTTGAGGCTGCGATATATGTCATCTCGTTGATCGCGAGAGCTCGGTTTCATGTCGAAACCTGTTCCAAGAGTCGACTGGTGACGTGCCATGGCATTGGTTTTCAACCCATGACGGAATAAAATTTACCAAGCGCTAGTGAATACGGCATGACCCACCGGCATGTTTGTCAAATTGCCAGTGAAAGGTTCGTCGGCAGCAGTCTTCGCAGGGACTTGACAAAAACTTCCATCCACGGTTGTAAATCCAAAGTTCATCGCTTGAACATCGAAATGTAGCATTTGCATTGCGCGAACAAATCAAACATCAAGCAGCATGCGCAGTAGGGTCATCTTCCTTCGCCTTCGGTGCCGTTGCAATCTACCTGCGACGGCGCACCATACATGAAGTGATCATCTTGAGCTTCCACAACATCTCGTAGTGTACGTACAGCACAAAGGAGAGCCCAAATTCGTTACAATTCTTTTTTACTGTAGTATACAGTGATCGAAATAAAGATATGCCAGGCAGGTTTTTTCTCAATAGAAGGCATGTCGAGGGCATTCGACAGTACAACGACTATATTGTTAGCCTTGTGCTATCATTTTAGAGCATAGGTGTGACCATCGGAACGGTTTATATCACTTCCTTTGTATTCTAGAGCCATGAGACTAAAATTGTAGAAGAAATAAAGATATGACACATTAAAGAGGCACTCATTTAGTACTTGATTTTACGACCTTTGCTCGCCACAACTAAGTCGCATCGCTTCGGCATCCCTGCCACAAGTTTCTTGAGCAAAGAGATGTCGATCTCGTCCCAAACTTGGCACACACAGGCAATGAGGTCAGCCTTGGTCGAAAATTGACGGCGCCCGTAGTCGTAGACCTTCCGGGACATGATTCCACAGAGGTTTTCAATTGGATTCAAGTCGGGTGACTTCGCAGGCCACTTGATCACGTCCACCTTGACTTCAGGCTCCTTGAACCACTCCAAAACAGCACCTGCCGTATGGATCGAAGCGTTGTCTTGTTGGAATTGGTACTCATCCTTGTGCTTCCAGTGCGCGAAGGGCAGCATAAAGTCCGAAATCGTATTGATATACGACTCCTTTTTTTGCTTACCAGTCAAGAAGGCCAACTCTGTTTTGCCGCGACTGCTAAATCCCCCCCACACCATAACACCCCTACCGCCATTTTGACGCTTGGCATAGTGCTCGCGACGCCCGTTGAGGTCGGCCCAGTAGAAACTGAACCCGTCCGGCCCGTCCTGGTTCCACTTCTTTTCATCTGACCAGATGATGCCGAAAAACTTGGCACCCCAGTCGCGTGTCTCGTTTGCCCATTCGACGCGTGCTTTTTGATGCGATCGCGTCATCATTGGTGCGGAAAGACGCTTCTTGAACTTGAGCTTGCCGCTCTTGCTGAGAAGTTGACAGACACGGCGTTGTCCGACGGGTAGAGAATGATTCTCCACCAGCTCAGCCGCTGTGTACTTGCCAGTGCGGGCGGCTCGAATCATTCGGCTGTGCAAGGCATGGCTAACTTTGGACAGTCGTCCGAGCGAACGTGCGACGCCGTATGCCGATGGATTGCTCAAAAACGCTCGTATACAACCGTGGGAGCGTCCGAGCTCTTAGGCATTGTAGCTGGTGCTCCGATCCTCGCGGCGCAGGACTAGAGCTTCCAGCTTCTCGTCATCGGTGAGATGTTCTCCCCTCGGCATGGCTAGGCTGTCTACGAGGTTGGTTTGCATGCATCAGACGTTTGTGGACATGTGTGATGTCATTTAGCATACACTTGAGTTTGACTGCACTGCAAAAAAGAAGAATGACCGAACCTGTCATATCAATATTTCTCGCGGGATATTGTCGTTTTTGGTGAAAACTGGACTTTTCACTTCATCGTAGCAAACAGTGAGTACATCGCACACTATT